CGAACGAGAAATCGGGCGTGCAATCAGAAATTCCCGCGTGCAAATAAGAATTTCTGGCGTGCAATTATAGCTCACGGCGTGCAAAACAACTGCGCCCGCTAAACTGATTTCGAACTAAGATACCTCTCAATACATCCGCGTAAAAATAAGTTGGATCATAGCAAAAATGGACGTTTGACCTTTGACCCCCAAAAACATCATTTCTATATTTTGTCACTAATTTTGAGAGTGTTTGTGCGACTTTAGATATCGGTACTGTTCAGTACATCCGTGTAAAATTATTGTATAAAAAATACGCTGAATCAGAGCCATAACTGGCCAGCGTCGGTGAGGAGGCGATTTTTCTCACGGGATTCCTATCATTCAACACGATATGGTGATTTTTGCTTCGCATTTTTCGATCAGGCCAAATCTTGCAAGCAAGTATTAGTCGACAATTGTAAAGTTATAATTTTTTGGCATCTTTATATTACTAGATTATTGATTTAAAAACTATTTAAACCGATTTACATTGGTGAGCAATTGCAAATTTTCGGCGTGCAAAATTGAATTCGCTCGCGTGCATTTTTGTGGAGCGCTAGCGCCCTCGGGCGTGCATCTGCCATGGAATCCAGTCTGGGGAACACGGTCATTTCGAACAAAACTCGTCAAATTATATACAAAGCACCGCATCGCTTTTTTGTTTGAGGCCGCATTTTTTCAGTGTAATTTCGCAGAGCTATGAGGGACGATAACGCGTGAGAAATATCGTCGCGGTTCATTAATTTTTTGGGCATTAATTAGATTGATGAAGTTGATAGCCGCAAATAGGTCGTGGCCGCAAAGTGGGTAAGCCACCCTACTGCAGTACTGTGATTTAGCGTTTCCCACTTCCAATGCAGCGATTCTTTTCTACTATCCAAACAATCATTTATTTACTTGTCAAGACAAACTACTGAACTACGTTGATACAAACAAAATAAATAATCTGATATTACAGTATTACCGTACGAAAAAAAAGTATAGGATTATAAACATTAAATTACAGTTTTCAACCATTCTTAGCTTTTAATTAATCCCTATTTAAAGATACATTTTTTGTTTTCAGTATTATCCAAAGTGCCGACTATCAGAATAAGGATCACGTTATATACTTTATGGCAGCCAATACCGCTATCTCGGCAGACATATAACGGTACCAGCAGAAATCCATCCCCGCATGTACCACCTACCTGCAAGTAGTTTGTTCGAATCTAGCGCCCGAGAAGAAAACAAACGGAATTTACGATAGTGGACGGAGTCTCTAATTGGGAGTTCGGGGCACAGAGATATATAAATATAGAGTGTGCTTCTCTCTCGTTTTCGCGGGACCATTTGAAGCCTCTCTCGTTTTGACGTTAGACTTCCAAATTTTGCGTAGCGCGTAATGTATTTCATATGGGATTTGACAGATACCAATTATTTGCGTCGATTTTTTTTGTATATTCGCTTGATCTTGATTCGTTTCTTATTAGGTATGAAACGCTAATACATCCAAGCTCGCCATACCGTGCTAATTTTTCATTAATCGTGGATGAATAATATTGCCTAACCAATCACACAGTAGGCTACATTGCTCCGAGTGGCTTACCGGAATCGCCAACTCATTTTCTTGTATTTGGCCATAGTTTACCTAGCCCGGCTTCATATTTTGTGCGCCTTAATACCATTTTTTGCTAATTAAAATGTTATCGGAGCTAAGACATTGATTATTGTAATTTTCCAAATGAAGTTGTTTCCAATTTAGAATATATTCGATTTCCAATGTTAAAAAACTTTTCATAACATACCGTATATGCTCGTTTAACCGCCCGGTCTTGATTAAGCGCCCGTTTGAATAGCCGCCCGTGTGAACAGGACATAAAAATAAATACGGGCCGGTGCTTGAGTACCCGCCCGGTGTGAAAGCTGATTTTTCAGTGGTAGAGAGCAATAGGAAATAAGAAGCGTAATATGAGGGAATTACTCTTAAGACGTGAATAATTTGCGTTTGACATGGAAAAAGGATTAATGTCGTCAAATATTTGTCTTCAAAGATACCGGTACCGTAATTTTTGTGTATAATTTTACTTTAAAAATAACAAGCGCCCCTGCTTGAATAAGCGCCGGTTTGAATAAGGACCCGGTTAGTGAGTTTGTTTAAAAAAATAAGCGCCCGGGCTATTAAACGAGCAAATACGGTATTCTGTATAGCCTATTCAGTTTTGGCCACACCTCTGTAATATGATAAGAATCAGAAAACTTGGATAGATAGCGAAGTTTATTTAACATCCAGTCATTAGCCAACAAACCAAACAAATAATAACACACACTAAGTAAACATCTGCCCCACATGAATAAGGTTGGCGGTTCACATTTTACATTATACCTATAATAAAGCATGTTAATTTATTGTAACTAATAATCGTGAAACAAGAGTAATGACACAAATAGGACAAAAATGAAAACAGTAGTGGCAAAAAAAGCGTTTCATTTTATATCGCACAAATGAAAACGTACGAGATGAAAGGTATGAATCAGTACTTGTTCAGAAAAGACTGGAAATACTTCTTAAAACAAATTTTAAACTTAAAATTTATTTTAGGTTTCCGTTGATAGCATTCCAAATTATCACCCACATTACGTAATTTTGGCCATGCCAGGATGAAAAATGTGATACAAATAGACAATGATTGACCTTGTTTAATAACTTTATTTTAAAATTATTCATTGCCAAAGCATGACCTGTTGAGAAAATGACGAAAAATTTTCCTCACTGATGCTGAAATATAATTAACTTTGACAATTTTTTTCTTATATTAACTGCAGAAGCTTGGTCATTAAACTCTTGTGCCATATGTTTGGCCCTTATGCCACAATATGCTTTAATAATGGCCTTCACCATCAAACTAATATGGCAATCACCAAACCCTGTATCGCGCCAGTGGTTTACAAGGTCGGGAAAAATAGGCTTATCGATTAAACCATCTTGCACTGCAATAACGATAGCATTGATGAGCCCAGTGGATTGGGGCAGTCTACCTCCAGAGGTAGCTAATATTCTTTGAAAACATTTTTCAGTTTCTCTACAAACTTTTATAACACTTGCTGACGGAACTGTTAATCCTCCACGGTTTTTAAAATATATTAAACTTGAAGTATGATCAGTAGATGATACGAGAGCCTCCTTGCATTTTATGCAAAACATGGTATCTCGCAGCCTCTTTGCAACAAATCCTGCAATATATTTGATTATTTGAAGCTTGTATTCTGACAACCTGATCGTGTTAGGTATGTCAGCATAGTCATGGTCAGAAGTTAGTGGAGTCCGTGGTTCAAGGTCATATTTCTTCATAAAAGATACTGAGCTTAAACTCATATTATGATTAGTCAGACTGAAGCTGTCCAAAACATTCAAAATGCTTGTTGCATCCTGGGGCTCACAGTTCCCTCCTGTGCCTTTTACCCCACTTCTCATAAAGCAGTCGTTTATAGGCAGAAGTAAATTGTTGCACAGTTGGATTATTATTGAATCCCCCAGCACCTCTTACAGCACAGAAAAAGAGTTCAAATGATCTTGACTAAATTTGTACATTAAAAGATATTTTAAAATATTTTGAAGTGACCAAGTCATTGAACACGCCTTTTGCACTGGATACAGATAACAAAAAGCCAATAAAGCCAGTTTTTCTTCTTGACATCAAGATTGGTCTTCCTGAAGAATCCTTCAACTGTGCAATGTATGCACATGCCTGAATTCATGAATGGTTCCCAAATATGCTTATTTGAAGGTCTTAGTGGCTCCTTAAATCGTTTAGCGAAGGGATTTCTGGAATTTAGCACATCAAAAAGCTGGTCAAAAATTCTGATAAATTTTACAGTTGCTTGACTTCCACTAAACTGCTTGAATTTCAGCACCGTATTAGAGTATTCGATCGCATCTGCAACACTGCTGCTCAGGGTTTGAGCAGCAATATCAACTTTCATCTTTGTTGATACCAGTGTATATGTCTTTGCTTCAACTTGTTTGCAAGCCTAAGACCTTCAGTGATTGGAGTTTTTGCAACTGCACAAAATATTCCCACAAAATTTTGTTCCCATTGCCATCACGCAAAACACCCCACTCTGCAAGGGTGTTTCGGACTAATTTAAGCATGTGACAAACGTCCATGAAAACATAAATCCGCTCAGATGGGCACGAAGGATAGTAAAATATGATTGCATGCTTACCATGCGAGGCAACAACTCCTAATTGAGAGAGCATTGAAAAATGACAAGATGGCCCGTCACAAGTTAAGGATACCACCTTGGCTCCAGTTTCACTCATCTTTGAATCCCAATCTTTATGATGTTTGCTCTTTCTTCTCCGGTCAATCCATTAATGAGAAAATATCCCAAAGGTACTTTCCAGGACCCATTCACACAAACAGCCATCAAAACAAGAGCTTCCTTGGCAAGTGGGGCAGAATCATCCTGATTTTCAGCATTTCCCAGGTCAACAAAGCCCCGATACCTTTCTCCATCCCAAGCAACATGTTTCCTAATTGCCATTTCATCAATCATCATAGCACAAATCAATGGGTGCGATGCAGCACTCACCTTCAGCCGGATCGCATCAAATGCAATTTTTTGTGAAACCAGGCTCAGCTGGAAGTTTCTGGTACCATTTTCTTATTACGCTTGGATGTGGTAAAGCCAGATTTAAGACTTTCCGCACATATTGATACGCTTTATTTGAATAGAACTGTAAAGTCATGGCAAAAGTTTTTAGCTCCTTGGGATATTTGACGCCTTTTCCAGTTTGTAATTCATTAAAATTCTATTGAAGATTGATGAAGGTATAGATCGCTGTAGACTTTCTTCACATGAAGCACTCACCAAGTTTTTCTTTCTCAGGGACTTTAGCACCGTTTCAAGAGATTTTACATGTTTTTGCAATCGATATGTTTTTTTTGACAAAGCCGGAGTCGTTTTCTTACTGCTTTTAAATGTTGTAAGCTGAGATTTAATTTTTTAACTTTGTAGGTGAAGCAATGACCTGTGAATATGAGTGGTCATGGAGCACATTGTTAAATTTCTCCTGCACTGACCACTTCTGCTTTACACATGAATGAAATTTTCTTTTTGTCGGTGACTTTCGCTGTTCGTTGACCTGCAAGAAATTTTGATGATCATGAGCATGTCCCACTTTAGATGCGTTAAACTGAAGCATGTGGCAAAAAACGAGAATTTTGAAAATTAAGAAGGCATTTGTCGTAAAAAAAAATCTCACACATCACATAAACAGATGATTTTATATAGTTATTCCGATAAACTAAAAATTAAAATACATAACAGATCAAGTCTATTACCATAAGCTAAAATACTAGGTATATGCATGCTATAGTGATCTTAATTGCCTGATATATGAAAAAAACACCCATTAAAATATGTGACAGAATTTTTTGTCGCTTTGGGTACAACATTTAAAGTTATGGAGGATTCCATTTGTTGTTTATCTTATGCATACCTTTCTTAAATATTTTGGAAATGCTTTGAATCGGGTCGGAACAGCATTGTCCTTAATTCTTGTGCGTTGCCCGGTTCTCTTAATATCGCTCTCTTTAAAATGGTCAGAGCATAAACGTGAAGAACTAGTTGGAATCCAATTCGCCCTCCGCAAAGCAGTTACCCACTTCTCGCAAAGTGCCTTATTCAAAGGAAATCTGAGAAAAATATTGTTAATTATGTATGAGCAAAAAAGAACTGATAATCATTTCATGCAGTAAGTGCACAATTTATTCGGATTTGAGCTACTTGAATTGAAGCAGGCCAGAACCAGAATTTGGATTTAACATAGTCTATCTGTATAGTCAAAAACGCTCTTTTCTAGTCAATAATAGTTTTATGCGCTAAATTGTTGACCACTTTGTATGTTATAAACTTGCTGTCGCCTTCAGCCCAAATGATTTAAATGCTTATACAATTTTTCCAACAACTTTGACTAAATTACAACTTTACTACAAACTGACTTCTGACCTTATAGTTACAGAAGACGAGCCTCAATACTGTACCGAGACAGCTATACCTGTATGCATTTACTCTAACATATATCTGTTTATCATGATAATAAAACTAGCTTTATCTTTTACAATGTTTAGCAGGCTATGAACAAATTGCTAAAACACACACTGGCAGACAACTGAAAACTGATATTGTTAACACAAACTGCTGGGCTATTTTTCTTACTTATGAAATGTCCTTGGATATTTTCGTTTCAGCACACTTTCCTCGTCATCATCTCCCTCGCTATCACTTCGAAAGTCCTTCCTTTTAAAACGTTTTCTGCAACCATATGCGGAGCACTGAGTACCAATACCGCTACTTTTTCCAATCATTTTCTCCGCCTCAGATTTTTTTGGCAATGCCATACCGTACCTTTAGTTAAACTATTCCGTAACTATATCGTACTGTCAGCCTAAAATATAAAAAAAAAATACTAACTAGCTAGTGACAAATACTAACCTAGCCACCTATACTTAGGGAAGTTTGAACGTAAATACCCAATTATGAAACTAGCAGCTTTTAAACACGAAAAACAAGCCAAAACCAGCGAACTACCCTACCAGCAGGAAGAAAGTTTGGAAGCATAAGTGCCAAGATGGCGGCGATCAAATTGTCCCGCGCAGCGACAACGCAAAACGAGAGAGAAGATCGTTCCATATATTTCCAGTTCAGTGGTTCGGGGGTGATAAAAGATCTGGCCTTTAAAGTTACCGTATTTGCTTTTGGTGCGCAATATCAGTCTTTCACAAACAAAATAAATTTATGATTGAACAAAATTAAAACTTTCTTAAAGTAGATAATTGACGGGGCTACAATTTACACAAGTCACGCTCAAACTGAAACGGTGCATATTTATTCCGGGGGAGAGGAGCAACATTAAAACGGCTTAATCATAGGGCGAACCACGGCCTCTCGCCCTTTCGTGTTAACAAGTTAACTGTATCAGATGCATGGACTTACTTATTATGGACATGGCATTTTTTGTTTTTTCAATATATTGTTCGTACAAAGTGCATTTTCAGTATGGTGAGAGAGAAAAATACTGATTTGTACGAGGGAGCCGTAACCGACCCTCGATTTCGTGAACCATCCTTGAATATGCTTAAATACGGTACGTACTGCCCGCAGGCAACGTGAAACGTTCGTATGTACATAATTCTAAATTAACGGGTTGAAAATATGAGACACCATTAAAACTTATACATAATATACTTGGACACCGGTTCCTGTTGAATCACTAAAGAGACACCTTGTACTCGAAACGTCACACGAATCAGAATATCGGCTCACGGTATAAACATTTGAATTACACACTCGTTTTAATTTAGTCCAACTTTCTTTTATCTCCGTCACTATATCCGGGATATTTCTTTTATTCAAAACTAAAGGAGCACCAGGAGCTTCTTCAGTCTTTTCTGCAGCGCCCCGAATTTAATTTATTGAGTGTCGTCCTAGATCAGTGGTTCTTAAACTTTTTCGAGCGCGACCCAAATCTGAGTTTTATGAATACTCGCGACCCAATCCTAAATAACGCAAAATGTGTTTTTAATGTTAGTACAGTTTGACTCAAATACAGACAACTATTTATTAGAAACAGTCCATTGACTCAGTGAGATTGATGAAACTGAAATTTCCTTTTCATTATATCTTCAATACCCAGCTCTATTTTACTTAACGCAATACACAAGTTGTCACGGGTATCGAGGCGATTGCGAGCTTAGTTTTGATAACCGTCAGTGCCAAATATCCTCGCTCGCACAAGTGCCTTGTCGCGAATTGTAGCAGAAAAGGCGTCCGCCGTCCGTCGCAAACACGACATCCTAGCTGGCCATCGGTATCTCTCGCAATATACAACTTTTTACTCATCAAATGTGCACACACTGCTTCGTTCGCGGTAAATGGTGCCTCGAGACGAAGTCACATTTTCTCTAGATATTGAATAATCTAATGTCGAGAAGCGAGCTTTTTCATTGCGTCATCTATTACAATTTACATTACACCAAAAAGACACCCATTTTTGGTTATTTTAATCCACTAAGACGACATTCCACGCGGTCGACACAACGACAAGCGACGTGCATGGTTACCGATACCATAAAAATAATACACGTGACTGGCATATCAGAATTGTGATGTAACAATTAGCTCAAAACAGTTCTTTCTGTGAATGAAATTATATATTTCATTATTGGACACGTAGTGGACATAACGATCGTTTCAATATTCTGTTGTTGTTGTTCTTTGACACGTTTTTAAAAAGTCGCTTTTCTCTTCGAATACTGGACCAATTGCTTTGAAATTTTCAGTGGTTAAAGATTAATTTTTTTGCTAGAAGGCTATTACTTTTATTTATTTCAAAATTTTGCGTGAATTCTATGAAATTTGATATTTCGTCTAAAATTTTGCTGTACTATTTTTTATCCATGGGAACATGGATTTTAGTCAGTGTCATGACTGGCTGTACGTTTTGATTCTGCAAAATTCTTGCTACTGGAAATTCAGAACTTTTTTGAGGGTAACGGTAGCGTCAAAGGTACCGGTAAGGACTGATTCGCTCTGGTCTAACGTGTCCATATATTTGTGCGTAGCTCTCTTGTTTTTAAATACCAGAGTTTAGAAGCTAAATTGAAACATTGGGAAAGCTGAAAATTCTTCCTTCTCTTAGATTTCACTTGCATTGACGACCTTGTCGCGACCCATTTTTAAACCTTCCGCGACCCATACTTTAAGAACCACTGTCCTAGATCATAAATGTCTCCTGATTGTAATCATAAAAGCAAATCCGACCTTATAAAATCTTCCATTATTTTGTTGCGTCACATAGATTTCTTGGACTATTTGATATACTCTTCGACACAATACATATTTTCCCAATGTGTTTATATTGAATTTTTAGTATAGGTAAATGAGAATGAAATGAATCGATTTTCTAGCTGTTGGCCTCTTTCATATTAGCATGTAAGAAACAATTTGATTCTATGAATAAATTATGCATATATTCCAGTCGCGCATTAACCCAACTAAATTCGGGCCACAAATACACACAGTTGAAACTAATTCAATTAGCAACATATTCATAAAAACGAAACAAGAATTAAATGTGATAGGAAGAAGCTGTGAACGGCATAGGATCTGAACTCATGAAAATATGGATCAATAAGTGTCAAAGAGAATCCAAAAAGCCAGAACACGACCTTTTGACCTGTTCATATACCTCTTCAAACTCTTTATCGCCAGTTGCCTGTTGAAAGTATTGCATAAAATTTGAAACTGCAAAGTAAATGAAAATAATATACAAAAATAACATAAAATCTGAGATTAGCATTTTTTTACTCATCCTGATGATTGACATAGTAGTAGCAAAAATGTTTGCATATGCTGTAGAATAAATTATATCATATTTTCAAAACATGGCCTTCATGCTGTGGCAAGGCCACTGAGTTTTTGTTTAATGAATTTTATATCGTCAGTAACATATATACCAGCGTGGTCCAATGTTGTCGGCTCAGAGGGCCACAAAATTATTTTTGCTTTGTTCACGGCCACAATAGTGCCAATAATAGGTAAACAGTACAATACAAAACAAACACTTTTATTGTACAAACACCAGTGGCTGCGCGTGGTCATTTTGACAACCGGGGCAAGCTACTGCGGGACCAAGTCACCCCTATCTACGGGGACAGGATGAGCGCTGTAAGTTCTCCCATTATTTTATGAGTATAAAAACCATTCCATCGGTAACAACCAATCGGCAAAAGCGACAATTTTTAACGATAAGAAAGTGTCTTTAAAACCGGTCCAAGTCAAGGGATTAATAAATATAGACATAGTTTATTTTGAAACCTCTTTCAAAAGGAAAGGCAATATTTATCCAGATAAATACAATGACATATTAACAGAAACTTCGGGAAAGCAGACAAAACCTAAAATAAGGTTTAAAACGTTACTATAAGGAAAGTTAATGCAAAGATAAGGACATGCGTCGCTCACTCATAGATATATATGCTGCTAGACTTCTACTGCTTGAACATTTATGCAACACGCCGCGGTTTCTTGGAAGCAAAATGCTCAATAACGCGCTGATTAAAGTCATGCATCCCAGAAATAACGTCTCTGTGAATGGATAAAACAGCCAAGGAATTTAGTCTATCTTGCTTCATTTCTGAGATACGTTTTAATACGCTTCAGCGTGCTGAATGTTCGCTCTGCGTCGGCGGAAGAAATAGGCGTCGTCAAAATGATGTCCAGAAATTTTGCAGACGCGGCAAATGTAGTCACTAGAGTGTTATCTATGAGGAACCCATAGAGCGCGCAAGTTGATGTGATGTTCAAAAAAGTTTGATTGGTGTATATACATCGCAATTCATTTTCCAATTTACCCACGTTTATCATGGGGTAAAATTTGGAGACAGTAGCCAACAAATGGATGGGAAATTGACGTGCAAATTTTGAAAAATTTTTGGGGTTCATCAAAGAGAACGCGGCAAGATGTTCAGTGCGCAGACGATAGGATAGGATAGGATAGGATTTACATATTTATCCCGGGGGAGAGGAAAGCCGATAAGACGGCTTATCCATATGGCGAACCACGGCCTCTCGTCCGGTTACCATTCCAAGTCGGGTATGGGATTAGTTTTACTGTATTGTTTGTTTTCGGAAGCATGGACTTGGTGGTGGAGGAAGCCGTAACCGACCAGCGGTTACGTGAACCACCCAACGACGGCGAGGAGTCCAGCAATCCTCTCGCACATAACCACCATGGGATTCGAACCTGCGAACCCACGCAGAGTAATTAGAGGTGCGGTGGCGAGCGTATTCCTAACGCTTAGCCCGTTGAGCCACACCGCCGCGCCGCCGATCGCCTATTTGATTCACCAGAATGTCACAGCATTCCTTTGCAGACAAAATCAAACGCTGCGTGGTTTGCCCGCGGCGTAAAGAAGCACTACATGTGTCGTCGTATTTCATTGTTTCCCGGATACGAGATACAGCATCGCGGAAGTCTGAAATACACGACTGCACAGACGCTCCATCCATTAGCCTTGGCTGCAATGCGCCGTATAATACATCCACGTGATAGAATATTGTGGAGAAAAAAGCGAGAAAAAATGAAAACTCACCATCTTCTAGCAGACGCTTTAGACCTGCCGCCTCCCTCACAGAGCGTTCGTCCCAAACCGGAGAGCTCTGAATGCCATTGAAACACTCAATGAGCTCAGACCTAATTTCGGACACGCCATGCACAAGCTGGGAGACGGAGGCTACATATCTGGCGAAGGAGGTCAGAGCGCTTCGGCGAAACGGAAAAAAATGAAGAAAACCCCGAAACATTTGCAAAAAATATACGGACGAGAGGGGTATCAAGACACATATTTTTAATAACGAGGTTAAATTGGTGTGCATAACAATGTAAAAAATGCACATGAGGAAAATCTTCTTTTATATAAACTTGAACACCATGTTTCGACCCACTTATGACTGCCGCGCCGTCATAAGTTTGAGCTATCAATTTTGACTTGCCCCGGTTGGCCCTATTGACGCGCCACCACTGACAAACACATTGATCAGTATTTGTCATTTATCAAGCTGAAACATGCACAAACCACCCAAAAACTAAACGAAATCGGGAAAAGCCTATCTATATCTACATTTAGTGTTAAGATTCCAAACCCTTCCTAACGGAAAAAGTGCTTCCGCAAATGTAAGTGCTTTCGAGCTTCGATAAATATTTTCAAAGCAAAATCTTGACTTTGGAAAATGCTCATTGCTCACGCGATTCTAAAATGCCATTTCAAATTACCGTATTTCCCGGCTAATAAGTCTTTCCCGCAAAATAGGCGAGGTCTATTTTTAGCACTAAAAAAGAGGGTTTTTCCATATCGCCCTATATTGAGACGGGTTATAAAAACAGCTTCTCTGTTGGTCAGTTAAACACTAAATATGCGCTAATTATTTTATACGGTTAGAACCATATTATGTTTATTTGGTAGAATCATACTCACATAATTACCTATTTTTAATAATGACGCGGTAATTTTAAGTTATAAAGCGGCAATCATTTTGAACAACTTATTTACCCGAACGTTGAAATAACTATTGAATACGGAGTGATACATACTACACTGTATACTGTATGTCCATGGGTTTGTTAATTAACAGATGTGTTTTCCTGTCTGTGTCGTTTTCCGTCGAATCTGTCTCATATGCGTCACATTACTCTTGTTGCATGATTATTAGTTACAACAAGTTAAAATGTTTTATTATTGGTATAATATAAAATGCAATCTGTCAACCTTTTTTTTTTTTATGCCAGGAGAGTTGTTGTGATTTAGTGACCGTATGGTCCTTCCAACCTCCCATCAATTCCGTTGTTAGTCGAATATCCTACTTATTGAATGTTGTTATTTGTGTTTTTTGTTTGATTTGTTGGCTAATGACTGGATGATGAATAAACTTCTAACTATCGGTGGCCCTGTTTTCTCTTTAAAGTACCGATAACCGGCGGGCATAAATAGGAAGTGCTTCATGACACCAGCCAGTTATAATTACGAGGGAGTTTTTAAAAATAATATGACAAATGACAGCTGCCAGTACAAATTCAATTAAATATCATGATTGGCAGACCCTTTGGCGTCATCGAGTACATGATAGAATATATCAAACCAACTATAGGGTTAACACAAATCATGTTTGAGACGACGACTCCTGCGAAAAATAAGCGGACCACAGAAAAATAAACATACCTACCGAATAAGACGGTCTTCCCAAAATCAGGCGGAAATAATTGGGTCTGGAAAGCGACTTATTAGCCGGTAAATATGGTATATTCTTTTGTCACCGATACAACTTGCCGACATATCAAGCAAGCATTGTGGTTTTACCTTCCACATCCATTCAAAAATCTGTTTGAATTTGTCAACTTTCTTTTCAAACTCATGTTTAACACTATAACACTAGTCAATGGATTCTCCTGGTTATTTTATGATGAAACAACACCAAATGCACTTTTCTTGATTAGTCTCCGAATGCGACGCAGGCCACAGATAATGGAGCTGCAGGCCTGGGTTTGACTTTGGGCCACCCTGATATATACATATGAAACTCACATATGCATGTACAGCAGCATTTGTGTATGTTGTTTGATATCTTCCAAAATAAATAATGATACTCACATAATATGGATCCTCTATGGTGCTTTCACAGCTTTTATCACTATCAAATTCTCCAAGTTTAAACAATTTTGCTTTATGACCACCACTTGGAGCCATTCGCTTTAAATCGCTGTAATTCATCAACAAACAATAAAATATTCAATATGCATTACCAACAAATTAAAATCTATCATATGTGGAGAAAGGACATGACGCATATCGGAGTGACTGAAAATACAATAGAATCAAATCGATCTTTATTTTAACGTTCAAATCAACCAAACCAAAAAAGATGAAAGTCCATAATTACATTGCAAGATTTTTTGTATTCTCTTTTGTGTAAAGTTTCATTGATGTCAACCAAAAACTAATAAAAATATTGACAATACAAAAAACTACATATCCCATAGTAACCTTTATTTCTTACCTCATGTTACTATCATCCATTCCAAAAATATAATCAAATTTGTTATAATCATCTTTAGTAATCTGAAAATTAATGCAGACAAGTTTACCTGCAAAGAAAAAATAATACTGATGATCTGTAGCTATTCCCAGTGTTTTGAATCGTCAACACTCATCACAAGAATTTTTCTAACCCATCAGCATAATGTTAAGAGTAATTTCTCAATCTGTTATACAAATCTGTCTTGACAACTTCTAATATTGAAATTAAGTTGGCTCTGAACTACTAGGGACACTGTGAACAAAAAGCAAGATTAGTGAAACAAATAAAAGTATTTACAAAGTTGAAGATTGGAAAACTTTACCGAGACTTATGTCAAGAACTCAAACATAAGCGACACATTAATAATAATACCAAACAATGACTAACTTGTCTCGCTCTGTGCTTTTCAACATGCTTGAAAATATCATGCCTTTTCATACATGCTTGACCTCTTGGATCTGGGGGATTACCGATTTCATATCTTGATGTTGCTGCGCTGTCAACATCCCACTAAAAGTTACAATTAATACTGGTGAAACAAGTATATGCATCAGTGGCATTATGTACAAAACCTTGTATAAGGTGAAGACATGAAAACGCGTATAAAAAATATGGTACTCCCGAAGTATGTGAACCAAGATGGCGGAGACCGGAACGTAGCATGTGTACCAGGTTAGGGTTATGCCATAATTTTATTGCAATTTTCCATATTTTAGTTCTATTACGAGTTCTGGGACTATCCAAGTGACTCCCGTAGTATTTGTACCTGAAGTTATGGCCTAACCCCAACCTGGTACACATACTACGTTCTCATGTTCGCCACCTTGGTTCACATACTTTGGGAGTACCAAAAATAAAGCATTGAAAGTCCAGTGTAGAATTTCACTACATAGATCACTCTTTGCCATTGCTTTGACATCACCAAGATGGTCAATATCATTCAACCTTCGCAATTTCCATCAAACTGAGCCGGTTAGTACTGTGGACATTATAATTATTACCTTTGTCATTTCTATAATAAATGCAGGACAGGGGGCAGGGTAATTACAACAAAGAGTCTACTCACATCGTTAGCTTGACCTCTTTCAGATACAAGATGTTTGAATGTTGCTTCCGCAATAGGAGATCTACAAATATTTCCTATAGAGCAGAACAAAATTGGAATTAACAAAATATAACGCAAGAAGTCAATATCCACTTATTCCACTGATATAAGTTTGAAAAGTTATATACGTGAATGCAAGTGAATGATATTGAAAAGTAATCTTTACAGCTCTCCTCAAACATAAATTCTAATATCTGGGCAAATTGAACCTGAGCTATGCCCATGATAACTTATAGCTGATTTTGTTGGCAAAATCATGCAAAGCAAATATAATATATGAAAAGATTTGAGATTTCAATCAAACTTGTAACAAAGGTTTAGCATTGTGATAAGCTGAGCAAACTTGTTCATGCTAGATGCCATCACTGAGATTACATCTTTTGCAAATATAATAAAATTACATTTTTAAAACAAAGTTTGAAAACCTAATATCATTTCATTTATCACATTAAAAAGTATGACCGGTATTCATTGGGCTCCCACTCTTCAAACTTACCAAGACAAACAAATAAAGCTGATCTTGGCACGACAGACATTCTTCAAATTTGGAAGCATCCGGAAACGCACACAACGGTGAAGTGTAGCCTATGTACTGTTATGAAAACTTTTCTGAAGATATTGAATAATTTGAAGCATAGTTTCATAAATGAAACAATTGCAAAATAATAAAATACAGTAACACTGTTTGCCTAGACCATAAATATGAAGATATCTCAACATGAGCTCCGAAGTTGTCTTCAAAATTTATTTCAAGAAATAAATTTCTACAAAAAATTGTTATACTAAAATGGTACAATATTGAAAATAGTATCATGATCGATAGCCTTACATCCTTAGTGATTGTAATAGGGTGGTGTAAATCAAATGGGAATAGTTGCAATTGTTTGATTTCTGCTATAAGCTTTGCAAAAAATCAGAAAGACTTGATGACGGAGATTGTGAAGCTTCATTGGCAAGAAGTTGAGACAACTGTGATAAACGTTTTTTCTTGTTTCTAGGATTCATAAATGGACTTGATTTTCTTTCTTCGTTGAAAGAGGTATTGATGAAACTCTCAATACTTGAACGTTTGGATGTAGGTGTATTTTTCAGTGATGCGGGAGAATCCGTATCTAACAATTTTAAACCATGAATCAATAATTTAAAAATGTAGGTTTTACCTTCCTACTGTGACGACATAATAGGTATAAGTTGGAAGTGAAAAAATGGATAATAACTACCGGTATTTGTAATTAAAACATTTTTGATACTAGTTGTATCAATTTATATGCAATTCCATGCCTCTAATACAATGACTAACAAATTTTTACCACCCTCAAATAACACTGCATAAATTTCATGAGATTGAATCAGATACCATTTGCATATTTTATGCAATCTTGAATCGATTATGCCAACAATTATTTTACTAAAAACATTTCATCTTTTCTCAAAAACGGTGTACATCTTCAGAAAGAGACACAAATGATGGGGATATTGGATGTATCAATTATTGTTACTTATTAATAAAATACAAAGTTTATTGATTGTATGTTTTGTTTAACGAAGAGACAATATTACCCATAACTGTCACAAAATCACAGTAAAAATATTCAATATAGAACAGAAATAATTGCTCATATTATATTAATAAAAGCATGGTATAAGACTAACTTTTTTTGGCATTGCATCTTGAATTTTTCTGTCGTTCCTTTTTTATAGCACAAATCTCACTTCTGTTGCATGAAGTAATTTTGTCATAAAATCCACAGTTTTTACATTTCATAATAAATTTGGCTCTCGATTGAACAAATTTTCTCAAAGTTTTCTTGGTCCTTTTAGATTGCGACATGTATCGTTTTTGACTTTTCAATGCTTTTTGAATGTTTTTGCCACATTTCTGCTTTGGTTTTAGCCTAAAAGTTCTGTTTGTCGCAGTTTGTACTACCCCACATTTTCGACAACAGTTATGGAAAACAGAATTGGACAGTCCAGTAGTACTATCCAGTAAACAATGAGACAGTTCTCTCGATAGCTCAGTATCACTACTCAACAATGTTGCAGATTTAAGTAGATAGGATTTACTTTTGTTAACTACTGAAGTACAATCAAAGACATCCTCCAGATCATGAGAATGTCTCATACTTGTTTTTATTCTTTTACTGACTAAAAATTAAAATATTCGAAAGAAAAAAATTGCAAAATGATTATATAAATGGCCAGTAGGAGATCAGCCATTTCACATAGATATGAAGAAATTGACAAAATCTGACAAAAAATGTATCAACTCAAAGATTTTCAAGCTAGTCTTTCATAAAGAAATAAGTAGGACACTTCTTCAGAGAATGAATGAGGTCAAAGATAAATATATACATTTGATAAACTCAAATTATTTGAGGCAATCCGAAATTGGAGAAGATCACCAAGCTTGAGCTTCACTATTCAAATATATTGAGGTAGGACTTGTCTGAACACATGCTGAAACAGTGGTAAACACGCATCCCATTGAGGCATATTTTGCATACTTGTGAGTGACATAAACAAATGCTTTTATCTTCCACATCTCAGAGTCAGAAAAGTGTTCTAGGTTTAAAAAATACGACTTTGTTAAGTTTCAAAAAATTTTCTCAAATGTTGGGCAGATGAAGACCCAACTACTGAACTAAGTTCTTCAGTTGATGCCTTCGTTATCGCATTAATGTTTTTGAATTTTTCCAGCAAAGCCTTTGCTTTTGTTTCTCCAATTTTTGGAAAAAGTATTACTAATTGCAAAATTGCTGAGTCTATTGGCGAAGATTGGACAATTCCTCTGGACTTGAAAGGATTTCTTGAAGGTGTTCGAATATCTTGATGAATCATTCTGATTATAAGATCACCAGCTTCTCTGTGATTCATCAAAGGAAATATTTCCATACCACAGTCAATAACAACCATTTTTTGAAATTGTGCAAAATATTGTTGTGTCATGGCAGTTTTTGAAAATAGCACCCTGTGAAATGCTATCTGTCTTGATTTCCTTAATTTCGCAACTCGCCGTTTAGCATCACTAACTGATAATATGTCACTTTCAGTCAAATATATAATCCCGCTATGACTGGAAGGATAAAAGTCTATCACACTTTCAGTAGAGTCCATAAATAACACACTAACTTTGCTTTGTAGAAGTTTAAGCAAATCAGTATTTCTCCATCTGTTATTAACCATGATATGACCAGCTGGAATTGAAAGTCCAGCTTGTACAGGTGTCTTTTGCATATTTGAAATTTCAAGTGTATTCCAAGAGTTGAAGATTTAAATGAAATAACATTCTGGTATGCAAATAAATCTATGATAATTATTATCACATAAATAGTTCTGCATTGCCAAATATGCCCATACAGCCATATGCAAATCTCAATTGACTAAATGCATAAAAGTTTGCACAGGTTATTCATCTGTTCACTTCATCAGACCTATATTTTTATACTTATTCAAAATCCAGGAGAGGAATAAAGGTCGAAACGATCTAATGGTAAACCACAAGCTTCCTCCGGGTAGTGCATAAAAATAATAAAAGCATGATACCGGTATCAATAGACAACGCTTACTACTGCTGTACTGCTTGTTTGAGGAAGTTGGACGAAACGTTACAGAAATACATTTGTGCTAGCGTGCAGCTGGAATCTTTAATTGGATAGAATAGTCATGTTTATTCCAGCTACAGCATCCTTCCAGTATAATGGTATACGAAGAAGTCGGTACGTGTTGTCCATGGAGGGACAACACTAAAAGGCTGAAGGAAGAAACGGATGAAGTGGAGGAAAAACGGAAGTTGAAGTGTTCCCAATGGTGAAAAATTGAAAACACTAAAAGTCTGAACACTAAAAGGAAGAAGTGGATGAAATTTATTCCCACGAATAATGAGGTGGTTGAAGTCACTAAAAAGCTGAACACTAAAAGGAAGAAGTTGATGAAATTTTTTCCGACGGATAATGGGGTAGTTGAAGTCACTAAAAAGCTGAACACTAAAAGGAAGAAATGGTTGAAATTTCTTCCGACGAATAATGAGGTGGTTGAAGTCACTAAAAAGATGAACACTGAAAGGAAGAAGTGGATGAAATTTCTTCCGACGAATAATGAGGTGGTTGAAGTCACTAAAAAGATGAACACTAAAAGGAAGAAGTGGATGAAATTTCTTCCGACGAATAATGAGGTGGTTGACGTCACTAAAAAGATGAACACTAAAAGGAAGAAGTGGATGAAATTTCTTCCGACGAATAATGAGGTGGTTGAAGTCACTAAAAAGATGAACACTAAAAGGAAGGAGTGGATGAAATTTCTTCCGACGAATAATGAGGTGGTTGAAGTCACTAAAAAGATGAACACCAAAAGGAAGAAGTGGATAAAATTTTATCCGACGAATAATGAGGTGGTTGAAGTCACTAAAAAGATGAACACTAAAAGGAAGAAGTGGATGAAATTTCTTCCGACGAATAATGAGGTGGTTGAAGTCACTAAAAAGCTGAACACTAGAAGGAAGAAATTTTTTCCGACGAATAATGAGGTGGCGTAGGTCACTGAAAAGCTGAACACTAACAGAAAGAAGTGGATGGAATTCCTTCCGACGGGTGGTGAGGTGGCTGAGGTCACTAAAAAGCTAAACACTATAAGGAAGAAGTACGTTAGGGTTAGATGATATTTTGTCCTATCGATTTTGAGGCGGTTGAAATCACTAAAATACCGAACATTAGAAGAGTTAAATAGCCAAAACATATCCCGACGGAAGTGAGATTGGATGAAGACCCTGAAAGCGGACTGATGAGTAGGCCTGCCACTTTTAGATTTATGAATTAAATCGATTCAAATCGCATTTTTTTCGAACCTGATTTACGCGATTCGAAAGAAAGAGAGCCGTTTAGCGAAGAAAAACAAACGCTCCAAATAACACCAATTGCCAGACGGGAATGTAAATAAATTTTTCGTTATTTACTTTTATTGATCTGTCTTCATTCATTTTCATGTTCCGCGCAACACACCCTGATCATCACTCGAGATGCTGACGTGCTGTGTGGGTAATTAATTTCCTTCAATCTGTCAGTTGAGTATTCCACTGAATGATCTAAGTTTCTATCACACGCAAATTTAAATGGATCGTATACCCGAAAGTTCGTTGCAATTTTGTTAAAAATATGCAACAGCACATCTTCTCTGCGACTAAGTAATGATACGCCTTGACATGAATTGATAAACGATCAGATACCGACTTCTAGAAAACATTTAATTTTGATTGAAATTCAATTTAAACTTTGAAATTGAAATATTGGTACTACTCTGAAGTACGCGCACCAAGATGTCGCACAACCTGATCCCTAACCTCGTACACCAGTGATTTTCAACCTTTTTTGTATCGCGGAACACTTTTTTTATTCTAAAATTGTGACGGAACAACAAATGAGATTTTTGGAAATAAACTATATTATGCAATTAACTGACATCGATCATTTCGAAATAAAATAAATTAACGAAATTAATAATAGCTTGTCAAAGAAAAGACGTTACACATATTCCGATTCGGAGCTAGGAACAGAAATGGTATTTTAATGTAATATCTGGGCCTGTTTTGAAAAGTTTCAATATTTTATTCTGTCTGGAATTTAATTGAGAGAGACAAACTCTTTCTCGATGACTCTCAATTTTTCGTGTTTTTATACTCTTATGGCGGCCAAGAAAAGGGTGGGCAAAATCGAATATTTTTTTCGAATCAAATAATTCGAATATTCTTAACAAATACCGAATAGTCCAATACCGAATATTTTTTATACGCAGCAGGTCCAGAACGTCGCCGCCATGGATCGCCGTTGTATTTTGTAAATACGAAAATAGGAATCAAAAATTAATAATAATCGCGAAGTTGACCACACATCTATGTACATAGATTGCCGTGGTATTGTGCCCGAATATAATTAATTTTTGATTCCGTTTTTCATTCCTTGAACTTAATATCTGTTTTTATAAATTTTGCAAGCAGTTCACGCACGAAGACTTTGAATAATGATGTATTAGTCAAATCGAAGTCCTGTTAGACCACTGGTTTTCAACCAATGGGCCATGGGCCACTGGTAAGCCTCAGAGGCATTTTGAGGTGGGCCACAAACATATTATAAATTACAAGGTTTGTTGATTGGAAAAATTGATTTGATAACAAAATCAGCTTCACGCGTCATGAAAAACAAGATATCTATTTGCAAAACATGCCTCGCCGTAACCCACCCATTGTGGCGCAACATACCCATTATACGGCAGGAACAGCTAGATATGAATATATATATAGTAATTTGTTTGCACATTACATCAAAATTAAAAAGAATATAACGAGAATGTCATGGCCTTCAATATTCGCCAGGCTCGAACTGAGCATAACATATAAAAAGTAATCAAAAAACGAATCCACGAGGACATTGTCTCATAAATACGAACAGAACAAACATTAAATTACCCAATTCCTAATATATTAAATTTTCAAGTATTCCTCACTATCCGTCGGAAGTAATTTCATCCACTTCTTCCTTTTACTGTTCAGCTTTTTAGTGACTTCAAACACCTCATTATTCGTCGGAAGAAATTTCATCCACTTCATCCTTTTACTGTTCATCTTTTTAGTGACTTCAAACACCTCATTATTCGTCGGAAGAAACTTCATTCACCTCTTCCTTTTAGTATACAGTTTTTAGTGACTTCAAACACCTCATTATTCGTCGGAAATTTTTTTATCCACTTCTCCCTTTTAGTGTTCAGCTTTCTAGTGACTTCAATCACCTCATTATTCGTCGGAAGAAATTTCATCTACTTCTTCCTTTTAGTGTTCATCTTTTCAGCGACTTCAACCATCTCATTATTCGTCGGAAAAAATTTCATCCCCTTCTTCCTTTCAGTGTTCATCTTTTCAGTGACTTCAACCACCTCATTATTCGTCGGAATAAATTTCATCCACTTCTTCCTTTTAGTGTTCAGCTTTTTCGTGACTTCGATCACCTGATTATTCGCCGGAAGAAATTTCATCCATTTCTTCCTTTTAGTGTTCAGCGTTTTAGTGACTTCAACCACCTCATTATTCGCCGGAAGAAATTTCATCCACTTCTTCCTTTTAGTGTTCAGCGTTTTAGTGACTTCAACCACCTCATTATTCGCCGGAAGAAATTTCATCCACTTCTTCCTTTTAGTGTTCAGCTTTTTAGTGACTTCAACCACCTCATTATTCGCCGGAAGAAATTCCATCCACTTCTTCCTTTTAGTGTCCAGCTTTTTAGTGACTTCAACCACCTCATTATTCGCCGGAAGAAAGTTCATCCACTTCTTCCTTTTAGTGTTCAGCTTTTTAGTGACTTCAACCACCTCATTATTCGTCGGAAGAAATTTCATCCACTTCTTACTTTTAGTGTTCAGCTTTTTAGTGACTTCAACCACCTCATTATTCGTCGGAAAAAATTCCATCAGCTTTTTAGTGACTTCAACCACCTCATTATTCGTCGGAAAAAATTTCATCCACCTTTTCCTTTTAGTGTTCAGCTTTTTAGTGACTTCAGCCACCTAACTACCCGTCGGAAAAAATTTCATCCACTTCTTACTTTTAGTGTTCAGCCTTTTAGTGTTTTTTAATTTTTCGCCTTTGGGAACACTTCAACTTCCGTTTTCCCTCCACTTCATCCGTTTCTTCCTTCAGCCTTTTAGTGTTGTCCAGGTATAACACCAGCACGTTCACGCTAAATTACATCAAAGCCTCCTTTCAACAGACAATCGAAAATATATATTTGTGTTTACATATACATAGATGCATGTCACTCCATTATGTGCACCGTATAGTCTATTATACGGTATATAATATGGACTTACGCAACGCAAGGTCAACGCTCGCAGTAAATTATAAAATATATATAGAATATCATGCAATTGTTGAGTTGGGTTCAACTGCCAGAAATCCTGGTGCCCGATTAAAAATCTCTTGATGGGCGTTCTATTATACATGGTAAAATTAATAGCGAGGTTCGATGCTATGTTGGTCAAATGCATGAAAACTAAACACGGGCGAATGGGTAAATAGTAGTGCTGTATCAACCAGAATGCATTTGGCGAAATCCCTCATTTCGCTGATAACGCCAGTCGTCAAAAGCCTCACAATTCAGTGAATGTCGCCTACGTGATCCCTTCCAAGCAAAGTATAATTTTGCCGATACCGATATCTTTAAAATTGCCGATACTAATACGTCTCTATTATATATGCCCCATTTTGAGTAATCTACATAGCTTTGAGCAAATTCGCCTGGCAAAATCTCAAAAATGGATACAGCACAGGAATAATATTATTATATACAGAAACGCTCCTTGCGACCTTTAGAGTTTAGAATTTGAATTTTAGATGACATGGGAAGATACCAAGAGATATGAAATAGTTTTAAATGCGACTCGCTAGACTTTGATGCTGTGTAGTAAAATCATATTTCATCTATATTAATGTTAATCTTTGTTTTGTAGTAGCTCAAATCAATCAGATAAACTCATCAATGTGTATTTTTACGGGTCTAATGTTGGAGTGAGCGAAAATAAAATGTGTCTTTTTGAATAACCACCATTAATTAAAGTTATTAAAAACACTACTGTGAGTAACAAGTGATTTACATTACAACTATTACAAAATTGCTCAGGACCCATTTTGGTGCGTCGATGTCGAAGAAATATCAGGATATATATTTGTCAACATCTGATAAGCCCAACCGTATATGGAAAGTACATATGTGGGAAAAGTACTGAACATATTAATTTCATTGTCGAACTCACGAAAAATTGATCGTTTAATGAGTGTATCGATGACGAACTGCAGCTGGAGGATATTGCGTCACGTATTTGAAGGCTGAGCAACGGTAAATGACTCACAAAAGATGGTACAAGTTGTAGTGTTTTTAACAAAAACATTATAAGAAGCAGGTATGGGTGACTGAATATATATATCGGTTTCAAAGGGTTGTATGCAGCTTTGCATTATTTCTGTTCATTGACTGTCAATAAAAACTGCAGCCACTGGTCTGACTTCTTTTAATTTGGTTTGCTTTCTTCAAAATGCGACAATCAATGGAGATAATTAGCAACGCAGTAAGTTCTGTCAGTACTAAATACATGTGTGTAAGACCGGCAACCATATTGATGGTAACGAACGAATATGATTTGGGAGATTCAAGGTTGGCGATTGAAATGTTTTATTGCTTAATTAACTCGAGTGGAATCTAAGCCAGGTTTTCCTATGGCAAATAGGTTTAGTTCAACTATACGGTCTTGCGTATAAACTTCAGTAAATTTGATGTTTTCAGAATAGTGTAGCAGTAATAATACTTATATATATACCATTAATTCGTGGATCAGGTATTTCCACGAAGATGGAGACGCATTCTGTAAGTGGTATTGGTATTAACTACTATTAGCAGGACATAGTATCTACCTATTTTCTCGAGCAATTAATTATTTATTTCGTTATTAATTTCGTGTCAACCCTTAAAGTTCCACTCCCTTAGAGGCGCCCACGCTGGCTTCGGCTGAAACACTTAGATTTTGAATTTCGGAATTATAGTGTTTGTAATAATTTCAACCAGGCTTGCTCCAGATGTATACATTAGAAAGAGAGCAGTAATATGGCCACTGAAAAACATGACGACGCATGGAAACTAATTTGATTTCAAATACGAGTTGCGCTGCCTTGCCATACTTTGTACATCACTATTGAACTAAGGTTCATTTTGTTTTACGTTTTAGTGTCATATATATATTGCATTTAAGGGTCCAATGCATCGTATCAACTTTATACAACTAGTTCGTTATTCGTAAAGCATTGCCAAACTCGTTATTATTTTTGCAGCCACCTTTCATTGATCCTCACCTTCTCCTACAAATCAGAATACATAAATGCAGATCAACCATAACTACAAGTTTTTGGGAAAAACGTAAATTTATTATTATTTCCGAATGAATATATAAGCGACTACAAGTCAGGCAACTCTGTTTGGTACATCCAATGTATCCTATGGTTGGTTGGTTGGACAAATTAAAGATTTTTAAACTAAAGCTCAACACATCGATCAGTTTTAACGACCCCCATATATATATTTAACATAACATACTGAAATTCATTCAAAAGTATTAGTGCCGATTTATCTATTTGTTTAGTGTGGGGATGTCAAGAATATTTTATACAACTATGCTGTGACGAATCAGAGGGGCCAACGGAATTTTACACAAAGCCATTCAGAAGACAGAAAGATGTTATACTTGATGAGGTTTTCTCATTTGTGCTCCCAAATAGATATGCAGTATGTGACCAAGATTTATCTGATCCAATAAAAATCAAGGTAAGTTAATATTACTGTAATAGTCTACAGGAGAGGTTCCTAAACTTATAAGACTTGCGACACATTTACTTTCTGTATTACAAATTACGGTGAATTTTTTGATATATGCAAATTTAATCGATGTGACACGTAATCTTGTTTTTGTGCAGACTAACGATCACAACACGACTGCATGTGCAATAGAGCCAGCCAGTCGCACTTGCCTCTCAATGTTAAAGTTAGCAGGAATTAACATTTTATGTCAAGTTTTAAAAACGGCCAGATGATAAAAAAATTGCTTAGGAAGTACTCCTCAATTTGAAATACTGTATTGTATCTATTTTTGGAAATACAATATAATTAAAATGTGTAAAATTATTAAAATATTATTAGAACAAAATAAATATTTCATAAATATGTCGAGCGACTGCAAAATATATGTTCAGATTTATGTTGCTACTTGCTATATTTTCGATTCTTTATCTTCGTGATATTCGATGTGCTGGTTTTAAATCAACATAATGCATATTGATTGCTAAACATATCTTGAACCGATCTTTGAGACCAATGTTTGATTCAGTACATATCCGTACTTCTATTATATATTTGAATTACAGATTAGAGTTTACCAGGGTAACAAAAAGTTTTATTGCGATTTCGTTGATGCTTCTTACTACAAATTAAGAAAAACTTACTCGATGACGATTAAATTTGTAAATGACCAGGTGATGTCCTGTTTTCATTTGTATAAATAATTTGGTCGAGTTTAATATATTATCATTGGAAGGCTTTTAATAGTTGCAGAGATTATGAATTAAATATTTTGCAATCTCACGAATTCAGCGTTTTCTAGGAAACAAATATCAACCCAGGATGTTTTGATTCATCATTCAAAAATTGATTTATTGTACTGTATTCCGTGTGGCTGATTGCATAACCTTCATTGCATTGATTTTTATCATCTCTTGCCATCAATTTGTGATATAGATCATATAACAACCTGGAATTGTTTTCAATATGTTCCTTTGTCACAATTAGAATATTTGTTTGTGTCATGGAAATAAACTGATAATTCTGTGCGTTTTGCTCCGTACAAACAAAAAAGTTACTGACAAGATTTGGGGAATAATTATGTGGTAATTAGTTTGAGGTGTATGGAATGTGGGAAATGTTTTATAACCGAAAACATTATATTTACATTTAGGATGTAATCAAACTTGACATCGACATTCAAAAAATACCAGTGTAAGTAACTTTTTATAATGCCTGAAAACTCCATTATGCAGAACAGAACGTTTGCGTTAGGGCGCAATAATAATTTTGACTCATAGATATTTATCGGCGTTATGTATTTTTATCTGGAATTTGGTACACTAGTCAGTAAACTGTTCTCCATCAAATGGGAGGGCAATAACAAGTATTCATGAAAATAAATACAAAATAGGATTTAAACTAAAAATAAGAAAAAAATATAAATATAAAAGGTTTGGCTTGTCTAACTGTGCCTGCCCCTCAACGAAATAGAACTCAACATTATTACTAGTTGATCGGCAAGTGGCGTGTTCTGGCGTATGTATAATTTTTGGTACTCCCGTAGTATGTGAACCAAGATGGCGGACACCGGAACGTATAGTGTGTGTAGTACCAAGTTAGGGTTAGGCCATAGTATTATTCAAATTTTCTCTTCTTTAGTTCTATTACGAGTTCGGGGACTAGCCAAGTGACTCCCGTAGTATTTGTACCTGGAATTAAGGCCTAACCCTAACCAGGTACACATACTATATACTACGTTCCGGTGTCCGCCATCTTGGTTCACATACAACGGGAGTACCTTAATTTCATATAAATAAAAACTGGAATCAATGTCAGTAACTGACAACGCGCCGAACGAAACACAGACAAAACATGAATAATAAACTAATATAGGAATTAGTGCGACGGACTGACCAACTCGGCAATGGGTTTTAGATTAGAAGAAAATGACTGAAATTATATAAGACAAACAAAATAAGCGCCGTGGCTTTATCAAAACACCTGTGACGTCCACTATGACTTTCGAATAGTAATCTTAAGACGATTCTACACCTCCTCCATTTCAAACTTCAAATTGGCAATGAGCGGCTTATGTAAATATTTTAATTTGTATATGCATTTAAATAATAAAGGACAAATCCGGACTTTCGATTTTCTTTTAATCTTTGCGAGAGTGAAACCGAAACTTTGAGAAGAAGGAAGAAGAATATCTTTGAGAGCATGCAACATTTACTTCCTGTGCATGGGAGGCCGAAAACTATTGACCAGGTACTATTCTGAACTTAAGTTTTTATACGCCTGATTGCGATATTTAATTAATAACAGGTGATTTGTATTAAATAGAACAGTCAAGCAGTCATAGTCGATGACACATCGCTACCGTTTATTTGACGTTTCGAAGGTTTTTTCAACTTGTTGCAGTTTTTATGGTGCATTGGCTCAATCTATTGCCTCACAAATCACAATTAACTTGTCTGTGTTTTTAAAAAGGTGCCTACAATATCAATAGCATGTTCTGGAGGAGGTTATCGCTCAACCATACAATTTTGCGGCGTATTGGAGGCGTTAATGGAGACAGGAGTTTTTGATATGATATCTTATATGAGTGGCCTTTCTGGTGGTGCCTGGTACGTAAATCGGTTCGCATTTTTATGATGTTCACAGTAAAGTTATTAATATCATGTTTTTTTGGTGATATATTCAATAATCTTCTTGTATAAAAAAATATTAACACAGATTTCATGGTAGTTGAATTTTGATATGCTTGTACTATATTCACGCAGGTACGTTTTACCTGCATATGCAAAAGAAGTTCTGAACAGCATAGAAGATCTCAAAGATTTTCATTCCGAACTAAAAGCTTCAGTGAAATCAAGCATGGTTGTTGACACACTAGTTGATTTTTCTCATTTTCTAAAATATAGGTTTGTTCTTTGATGTATAAACCTTATATGCATAATCGTTTGATATTGGCATACCCAGTTTTATCCTACCGGTATTTTAGATATGGACTAATTACGTCCCGATAGCCAGATATCATTCTTTTTGGTATTTATCAAAAGTGTAATCTCAACAAGTAATGCTAAAAAAAAAACAGGTTTCGATTTCCATACTCATCCAATTTATCCCATCCCATCTGGCATGGTCGCGAATTATTGATTAATAATCGAGAAATAGCAACATCTGAATTACAATTTACTGGATTTCACTTTTCAACAAACCATCAACTTGTTTTACAGAAAGTTTGCGCAAATGAAGGAGTCAGAAGGGCAACCAGTTACATTTGCTGATTTTTATAGTTTCACTCTCGGAAAATCATTTTTAGGATACGAGGTAAGATTACGTTTCTTTACAATGCTATGAGACCACAGTGATAGACACTTTCAACGTTACACCCAGCGGCAAAATCATCAAAAAGAAATGTTTAATCGTTATGCAACGGGTCCTATTCGTATGAGCCACCAGAATTATGAGCTCGACGCTCGCCTACAATATTTTTATACTATTACAAGTCTGCTTCGAAAAATTTTGCTTCGTGGGATTCGCTAAGACAAGAATTTTCGTATAAATGTACGTCTTTTGGACTAAATCAGAGGCGTTATGATGCTCCACATACTAAAATTTTAGAAGAATTATTTTATTAAATCAACATATATATCTGCCCCAGTAATCAATTTATCCGATACATGGAACGATGGTTTAATAATGGGCCACAAAATAGCCTATTATTCAAACTACACGTCGAGTATTTATATCAGATCCAAGTGACTAATATACTGTACAGTGTTCAATTATGCTTCCAGAAAATGGGTATGAAACTTTCAGATTTGAGAGATTATGTCGGAAGTGGAGAAGTTCCTATACCAATTGTTTCAGCGCTTCATGTTCGTGCGAAAGAATCGTCTGCACAATTTCATGGTAGTGTTTATATTTCTAAGTCAAGTTCAGAATTCAAATTTGGTTTTACAAAACTCATATTTTGTTTTTAACCACTTTGATTATGCCGAAAACATTATAACATGATACAGTAAGAATGATCAGTAGAATAACATATATATAATTGAATTGCAGCCAATCTTGAAATTACACCATGGGAAGTCTCTATGCCGAATTATGCAATGAATCTGAGTACAGAAACCTTTGGATCCGAATGGTACAAAGGAAGCATGGTTAGACCGTGTCCAGAATTACCTATACATTTTTTTATCGGAATGTCATCAAGTGCTTTTGGAATTTTATTAAAATATTATCTTGGTGGAGAAACTACAGAAACAGATTCATCATTTATAGAAGATATCAGTAAGTTATTAGTTTTTTCTAGTTGTGTATTTTGAACCATTTCAATTCTAACAGTTTTTTTCATGAGGCTGGTACATACAGGGAGATGTGCGCACCACTCTGACGAAAAAATGACCGTGCGTTTAGAGGTCACTAAATCCTTCAGTCGAATAAAATGAATTTTCGAAATTTTCGTTCATTCAAAAAACTTCTGTCAGTCGGTGTTTGAATACGGAAACGGGCATTCGGGCATTAGAGGAGCTTAAATTCAATTTGTTTTGATTCTCTAAAATCAGATTATATGTAGTTCACAACTTGTCCAACAACCCGGACTTTGAAAATGTGGACGTGACAGCGTTATTTATTTCAATCAGCTATTTTATATTCTCCACTTGTATGCTTATTGTATGACAGGAAGCCACGAATTTGGAAGACACAATACAAAAATATTTCGATTGAGTTCGAAAGAAAAAGTAAGTTGCGATTGTTGTTTTTGTTGGATCAGTCTTTAATCTAGTAACTCAAACCAGAACCTGTTTACATTACTTTTTCATTTCGGTGGAAAATTCGGTGGTGTATTTAGTGAAACTTTTTATATTACTCAATCAATCAATAATGTTTCTTGTTAAATCAGTATATAGCTCGGCGCAGGCAGCGAAACAAAATATCTTCGTCGTCAGACTGTAACCAGGATCCTATACACAAACAAAGGAGAAGATCAATTACAAGGAAGAGTAGTGAATTCTCGCAATCTAGTGACGAAGATTTTTATGATGCTAGAATGTCCTTCTCTGATGGAATGAGACTGGAATTGGGAAGAACTTTTTCGAGTAAATTTGTTATCATTTTAAAGAATTTCATTAGTATAGCTGTTGTTGCTATCGCCCGCTATTTAGACGAAATGCCATCTTATCTTATCTGGACATGATTCGCCGGTTGGCACATCGTGCTAAGCGTTAGGAATATTCTATAGTAACTATTCCCAAGTCCGACATGGTCTGGCAACCGGCCGTGGTTGGTCATGTATGATTAAGCCGTCTTATCACCTTTCCTCTCTTTCGGGGTGAGTATGGAAATCCTCATATTTACAATCAATTTTAACGTATTCCCAAATGTAAAAAACAACAACGAAAACTCAAAACTCAAAAAGAATTAGCAACGCCCACATTCCACAGTTTTAAGAAAAGGAAGATTTTAGGGACTTCCTGAAGTATGCGCACCAAGATGGCGCACAACCTGAAGTCAGGTTGTGTACCGGGTTAGGGTTCAGGTTATGCGACATCTTGGTGCGCATACTTCAGGACTACCGATTTTAGTACCAGAAAACAGACAGAGTCTGTTTATGGTTCAGGAAATATTTCCTCAATAAATCCAACTGATTTGCACGTCGACATATCCCGTAAACATTTTTCTGTAAATCCTCTCCCTATCCACACTTCCGACGACTGGCTTTGGGAACTGGGGAGCTTAATCATATTGCATTGTAGTTTTATATCCCACAAATAACATAGTTTGTTTGTACGACAGATACTTCTGAGATATACCACACAGCTGACGAAGATGATTCCGCTTTCAAAAGAACATTTTCAACAAGGATTCAAAACAGAACTCTTCTTCCTGTACCAGGTATAATTCTGCCGACCATTGCTTTGTTGTCAGTCATGTCCTGATCGAATTTCAAAGGCAGAATCTAAATTAATTTTAAAAATAAAATATGAATTTTAAAAATGTTTCACAAACTCACTTAAAATATATATGTAAGATTATTGCGGTATTGACAAAATCGTCACCAGACTTGAATACTTTTATCTCGCCAAGGGATACGTCAAATTTGCATCAATAGTGTTGCCACTTGTTGTTAAGAATCGGTACCTTTCAATGACCAAACTCACAACTTTGTCACAAGCTCACAACTTTAAAATTAATCAGGACGATGGAAAATGAACCCACGATCAACTGAAATATTTTCATTTTCAAATACGATTATGAATATTTTGCGCTCATTGACATGCACATCATAGTTACGCTGTATTGTGTGTACAAAATGATATAATAATTGATTTTATCCTCTTAGAATCACAACCAGAACGTCGCGAAACGTTGTCGCTAGTAGTTGGCATAAAAGACGAAAACAAGTCTCAGCCGAAACACCATGCGTATTTAAAGAAGATAATCAAAAAAATAAGGTATTTTGTTCCGTAAAATGTTATCCTGATAATTCTATAAAAATTCTAGACGTAATTTAGTAGTAGTAACTTCTGATTATGTATGATTATACCAAAAAGTTTCAGAAATCCAGGTTTTCTGCTGGAGCTGTAACTTTTTGCTATCAGGACATGTCAATAGCCAAAAGAATGTGACTGGGGCACAACACTACCGAAGGATGTCTTACAGAAACAGTTGCCAAACAAAGGTGCAGGTCATGTGTAGGCATTTCCAAACATGGCGTAATCGGTCCGTATTGGTTTAGAGACGAAAATTGAAAAGATTAAACAGCAAATACGGAACGTTATCTGGTATAGTGCTGGGGAAGTGACAATGTGTATCAGAACAATCCTCAAACAAGTAGTAAACTCAATTGCAGCGACAATCAGAAAAATCCCTATAGAGGAGTGCGTGCGAGTGATTGACAATTTTGCGCAATGGATGCAAGTCTGTCTCCAACGCCAAGAGATAATTTTAGAACATATTGTAGAGAGGACATAACTTTAGTGCAAAATGTCCTAGATTTCTGAAACTTATGTACGGTCGAACACAAACATAAGTTCGAGTTTAAAGGAAATCAAATGATTTACTTCATTTTCATATATATAAGTAATCAAGCAAATCTGTTTTGGGGAGGTCATTCTACATTTGTAGTACATATATTAAAATTACATATACTATATCAAGTTTTTATCATTTTTCTCGACACTGCGCTTTTTGTAAATCTAAACGTTATGTTGTAAACTCTGTTTTTCAGTCAACATCCGCTCTTCACAGATAGGGAAGCTGTGATTGACCGGACAGCAAAAGTGTTGAACTTCGGTCGAGGACTTTCTAGTATTCGACACTATCCACTGAATCCAGAGTTCAGAGGCTTTTCAATAAACGGTTAAATTCTCATTTTGTTAATATAACAATATCTATCTATATATTATATATACATTTTAGTTTAACTTGCTGTTATCAAATAGTAGTATATATATAGTAATTCCATTGTGTGATTATTTTTAGATGCTAACTCAATGCGTCTTTCAAAAGATGATGATGTCGTAACATTCATAGATCCAGGTATGACCTACATTTGTATCTTCCAGCTTAATATATGAGTTATGAAACAATCAGTAAATGCACGAATTAATATAGCATTTTGGCAGTAATTGGCAGAATTTAATATACCATTGTGATGAGAAGGCTTTGCTTGCAAGTAAAATTCAAAGTCTAGAAGATATATGTCCCAACATAAAACTGTTGATTTCATAATTTGAAAAATTGATCCATATATATCAATTTACATTTCAGTTCAATATCAGAAATGAATGTCTATTTATATTTTTCAGCTGTGATATGTAACACTCCTACCAGTTGTTTGTTGAGACCACAAAGAAACACGGATATATTGATAGTGTGCGATGCAACAGAATATAAATCGGACACCGATATTGATTATTTGGTAATGTTCAATCAGTGTTCTATGCTAAGAAAAAATTTTCATTTCTGGATCAGTAATATTTATTTGCAGAGTTGCTGTTATCTTTTACCCTAACAATCATAAATAGCAAATTCGCCAAGAATTAGGGTCTTGTCACAAACGTAAATTTATTATTCTTTTATGCATATATTATTTTTTACTTTTAGGAACTGTTTATTGCTGAAAGATTAGCAAGGCAACAAGGAATCAAATTTCCAAAAATCAATCCAACAAAGTTGAAAGATAACCCACGGGGCGTCATCCATGTATTTGAAGATGAAGATGACCCAGATTGTCCCATAGTAATATGGTTCACCCTTTCCAACAAAGAATATAAATCACTCAAAAATGTTCGAAAACCTCCAAGAAGATGGTTGGATGAAGCATGTTAGTGAATAAACTGAGAATATTAACAACTGGTTCAAATTTTTTTTACTACATTTCCTCTCTTCGTGTTGAACATCAATAATACTATTTTATACTTTACTGACGCGAATAATTATAACTGGGAGCAAGCACCAATGGAAGTGCGACTAAATCTTGTGAAAAAACCATGCTATTATGTTACTCTTGGAGCTAAAATTGAGACCCCACCACACAGATGACGCTTTTGTAAATGTAATATTCGTAAACGAAAATCACAATTTTTCAATTTGCTCTGCTTATTATCTCGTATGTATTACAAATAATGGACAATTATGCGCTTGAATGTTAAGATTTACACAAATATGAGCGATCCACAAGTTTCAGTTGGTGTTCAACATTTACCGCAAAATGTTACAATTATCCCAACTGCTATTGTAGATTACACGCAGGCTAACATTCTTGTTTATTATTGCAGACAAAGTACCGATGAATGAAAAATTCAACGAATTTCCTGTTTATGGACCTAAATCATGTTATACAACATTAAACACTAGATATACTCCACTGCAATTTGATAGATTAAAGGAAATGATGAAGCATAACATTTCAAGTAATATCGAGGTTAGTTACTTCATACTTTATATAATTCTCAAATTGGCTAAAACATTGTTATTATATCACATATATAATGTTTTCTTCATACAGATAATAAAAAAGCAAATTACAAAAAAAGTGTTGCAAAAGATGAAAAAATCCGAAGCATAATATCAATATTATTTACATGTATCGTGTGTTTGTATATCATATTTGCGCATATTTTACATATAATGCAAGTTTGTGATGCATTTATTTTATTCGACGGGCTTAAACAATTGTCATTCCTTCAAATTTGGGATTGTTAAAATAATTTAGTCATACCACTACATGGCCGGCCAGTTTGAAGTCCAAAATTAAAAGAGTCTCGGATAAATCACTAAAATTTAACAAAAAGCAATACACTCGAAGGCGGCCATCCTTTTTCCCATATTAAACAACCACCACATTCACGTCCGAGTGTACGATAATAAATAAATATATATATATAAATGTGAGCGTGCAAAAGAAAATGAATTAATCTATGAATTTTATCTACTACCGCATTTCCCCATGAATAGAGCCTTACGTGATGAATTTTTTTATTTTATGTCGCAAATCGCAGTATTGACTGTGATTAGTCACATTTTTGTATTTTATACTGTAGTTTAATTTTCCCCTCGATTGACATTTTGCTTTTTACTACTGTCTTGTAATATTATCAATATTACGATATATATACTGTTTCTCGATTATTTTTGTCAATAGATTAAACGTCTGTTTGTTTCGACAGCTTTGCATCGGTACACAGGACGATCCATATGTACACTTTTGTCCAATAAGCGCACGCTCTCTCAATTGTTTAGTATCAAATTATACATGTTCTATTAATTATTTTAATTTTTTTCATTATTCATGTCGTATGTTTTGTCTGTATGCATTTTACTGGAAAATTAAACTGAACTTCGAATTTTCACATTCTCAATCCACTTATTGACGTTACCATATTTGAAAGTTATAAAACTGGCAGCGTCGATATTTTTAGAGTGGGGAAACAAACAATTATTTCGTTCTGCTATTGTCTCACAACTAAGAAAACCGAAAACTTGGGTGTTCGGCTACTGTTATTAATGATAATCGTTCAATTGTTTGTATTAAAATGCATTTTTTATTTTGTTTATGTAACTGAAATCATCATTCATAGCAGTCATTCTCATAATCACTGTTTTATAGTTTATTGCTAGTGTCACTTGACTATGCAAACTTTAGTCCAAACAAATGTGGCATTGAGGGATGCCCTGAAAATACAATTATCTGATAAAGATGCGTAGTTTTCGCCTCATAATACATGGGATTAAATATAATCTTCTGATAGGACCAAATATTTTTAAATCATAATTTGCTTTTGTATTAAATCTATTAAATGTGGGCAAATATTGTCAACTATTGTACCTGAATTCCAAATGAACATTTCTTATTTAAAGAACAGGCTAAACTCGTTCTCGTTCGATATTTCCTTTTTTCTAGAAGAAGAATTCTAGAGTTTATAACCGCTTTATAATAAGAAATATTTTACTGTGGATTTATTTCAATTGATGCAAACATTGTGGGAGTTGACTCTGATGACGCATTGGTCGTATCGCTCCAACCAGTCTATACCGAAGAAACTTTATTCCTACTGCTTTATATTTATTGGACATGTCAGTGGACATAACGATCGTTTCAATATTATGTTGTTGTTCTTGTTATTATTATCATCCTATTTAAGTTTTTTTTGGTTGAAAAATAATAAATCTCTCTCTCTCTCGTGATGACTGTCCGTCAAACGGCTCTGTCAAAACTAAATCACTTTGGTCAAAACTATGTCGCATGCCTACATGAATTAGAAGCGTTCCGCATGCAGTGGGCTACAAACCAGGGATGGCGAATCTTTTAAAATGCATTTTAAGCCAAAAAAAATGTGGATCACATATTTGATCGATGTCTGCATCAATGATAAATTTGCTGTTGCACCTTTTTTGCAGGTCTTAGCTCTTGGTTAGTATTGTTTATTTAGTTTATGCTTCACACATAAAGCATTTATATCAGTACTAAGAGAATTTATAGAGCTCCATTTCATGGAATAAATGCTCAAAACAGGGTCCCAAATGCATATAAATTTCTGAAAAACAATTATACCGCGACAGCAAATCTCGGAAAAAGCTGAGAACAAATTCCCCCAGTGAGCAATATATTTTTCCATCGTCTTTAAATCTCATCGAAGTCACTACCAACACAGAGCTATTGCAGTTCATTGACTACCAATCTGTTCCATATTTATTTCTGCAGTATTTGAGTTTATAAAATTTTGTTTTCCGAGCGGCATTATTTACATCAAAAAATTACCGGTACATTTTCATCCCTTATCCACAAAAAAAAAACTTCAACCCATAGTTGGTACCTTACTTATATGGTCATGCCCTTTAGATGCTCAAAGCTAAGACTTTGCTGCGCCATATCTACAACATAATAATATTGGAAGTTGTGTGCCATGTTATCTGGAAATGAATAAGTAAGTTTCATTATTTATTGCTAATTGATGGCCAATTTTGGTTGCAAACAAATGTCATGAAGGAAACGCCTAATTTGCACGATTTTTGCGTGGTGGGGGAGGAGGCATAGTTGATATTTCTACAAATTTTCATACGGGGGTTTAAAATGAGCAAGAATTTATTTCTGCTGGGTCAATATTTAGATCTGTGTCGTCTGACCAACTCAAATAAGTTCAATAAACATGGGGCATCATTGATATTTTTCATAGGAAAATGTCCTTGGTGCCCTAAGCACGTTTTGCTTAATGTTAAATCCAGACCTAGATATATCTAATTCCTGGATCTGGTAACCGAAAACATTCCCTCATTTGAACCATCCACAGGAAAAGTCTATGCTTGTCTGTTAGGAGATGTAGAAGCGCGAATACCATATTGTTACAATTATTTTTTGATTCCCAGATACTGTTTATGACGAGCTATCTCAGATTCGGAGCCGCTATTGGATCTAAAAATTTTGGTTTATCAATAATTTGGGACATTGTGATACTACGCGTGTGCATGCTTCACATGACATGTGAAGTGTTTCATGACTCTCTCCATCAATATCAGATCTTTAGCCTCTTTCAAAAACTTCACAAAATTTGAAGCACTAGTTAATTCACTGAATTGTAAGCCTCATGTAATTGCTGTAAATGAAACATGGATTGTATCTGGTACAAATGGCCATTTTAATGCACTGGATGGCTATGTTTTTATCTCTAATAGTAGATCTCATCACCGAGGTGGTGGTGTTGGTCTCTTCATTCGAAATGATTTGAAATACATTGTCCGCAAAGATATTACTATAATGTGCGAAAAGGTTTTTGAATCTATATTCATTGACATATCATTGGAAAATAAAACAATAACCTGCGGTACTATTTATAGATCACCACTAACTGATGAATTGAACAATGCTAACTTTCGGAATCTCTTGTCCCAAGTTCTCTCAAAGATGAACAGGTTGAATTATAATTATATAATGGGTGACTTCAACTATAATCTATTGATGAGTCCAATATGAATACCAGCCTATTTGTTGATATTATGCACAACCTGGCCTATTATTCTCTGATAAACTGCCCCACCAGGATAACTCCAAGTTCTGCTACCTGTATAGACCACATCTGGACAAACGTATATGATAAAAAAATTAACAGTGCTGTTTTAGCAGAATGTGTTTCTGATCATCTGCCGATTGTACAATGCTCTCTTCTAGAAAAGCAAATTCAGACCAGAATTGAAACGCTTTATCGCCAGTTTACTTCGTCCAACTTGAATACTTTTATGAATGAACTGAATTCTATTGATATTGATGACTTCAGCAGCATCCAGGATCCCAACACTTGCTTTGAAAATTTTTTTGAAAAATTCTCCACTGCTTACTCTCAATCTTTTCCTTACAAAAAACAGACAAACAGATCAAACAAACCTTGGTATGATACTGAATTACGCAAACTCAACAAAGTCAAACAAAAACTTTATAAGAAATTAATAAACAATAAAAACATAAATGACAAGCACAAATTACAGTTCAATGAATGCAGGAACCTTTATACTCGATTGCTCCACAAAAAGAAATCAAATTATTACAAATCTAAATTTGCTTCTCACAAAGGCAACATCAAGGCAGTGTGGAAAACAATTAATGAACTTATTGGTAAAAATAAAACAAATTCTTGTCCTTTGATTGGACTTGATTGCAGTAATACACAAACTGCAAATAAGTTTAATGAACACTTTTCCCAAGTGGCACAAAGCCTGCTTGACTGTATGCCACAACCAGCTGGCTGTGACAAAAATTACATTTCATATCTTGGGAGGCAAGAATCCTCATTCATGTTCTTAAGGCCAGCTACATCATTAGAAATAAAAAATATTATACGCGATATGAAGCCCAAGTCAAGTTTTGGAATCGATGGTATTCCATTTAAAATATTGAAATATGTTCCAGAACATATTATTGATATCCTGACATATATATTTAATCTTTCACTATCTAGTGGATTCATTGAAAGCTTCAAGACATCCAAAGTTCTTCTTCTCTTTATAAAGGGTAGTGTTTCAGATCTTGGAAACTATAGACCTATTAGTCTTTTACCATCATTTTCTAAGATTCTTGAAAAAATAATGTATAGTAGAATGTCAAACTACTTTGAAACTAACAATGTTTTCCACTCGCATCAATTTGGCTTCCGCAAGCATCACTCCACTGCTATGGCTGCTAATGTTTTGGTACGCAAATTGACCAATGCGTTTGAATGCAAACAACATGCAATTGGAATATTTCTTGATATCTCAAAAGCTTTTGACACCATTGACCATTCCATCCTCTTAAGTAAGCTCTATCACTATGGAATTAGAGGCGTTCCATTCAATTGGATCAAGAGCTACCTTCAAGACAGGAAGCAAATTGTGCAATATGACAACTCATTCTCTACAAATATTTGTGTCATGAAGCACGGAGTTCCACAAGGATCTTTACTTGGCCCATTATTTTTTCTAGCTTACATTAATGACATGTCCAGGTGTCTGAAATCCTCTGAGTCGATCATGTTTGCTGATGACACTAACTTGATTCTTCATGGGGAAAACCTTGAAGATCTATTCACAGTTGCAAACCAAGAACTAACCAACATTCATAGCTGGATGTTAGTTAATAAATTATCTCTGAATGCTAACAAAACTAAATTTGTATTATTCCATCCAAGCAAGCATAAAAGTGTGAGTTGTTCAAAAGAACTACTGCTCAATGGCAATGAAATTGAAAGAGTGAAAGAAATAAAATTTCTAGGAGTTATCTTTGATGAAAATCTGTCATGGAAATCACAAATAATGCATGTTATTGGTAAAACAAAAAGAAACCTAGCAGTTTCTGCCAAAGTATCCCAGTGTGTTGATCAATCAGCTCTACTAGCAATGTTTCAATCATTACCACTTAGCCATATTCGATATTGTTGTTCAGTCTGGCTTCATGGTAATAAAACACTTGTCTCAAAAATGCAGAGTATTTGTAATAATTTTTTAAGAATAGTTTTTGGTAAAAGAAAACGTGAAAGTGTAGAATCTTACTTCAAATCACTAAATATACTTAAGGTTGAAGATATGATGAAATTTGAAATATTATCTCTAGCTCACGACTTCCATAATAATGCGCTGCCCAATTGCTTTAATGACATACTTGTCAAAAATACCTCCAACCGAAGAAGTAGTTCTGATTTATTCGTACCTTTCATGAGTAAATCCGTGAGTCAGCATTCCTTGTTTTTTACTGGACCCAAACTTTGGAATTCTCTTCCCTTAAATTTGAAGACGTTAAAGTCCAAAAAATCTTTTCAAAAACAAGTCAAGTCTCATTTAGTTTCCAAATATTAAATATTAAAAATTACTACTGGTGGTATTCGATGACAAAAACTTGGGACACTCCACACTTGCACATTATTGTTTTAATGAAAATGTTGAACAGCTGTAATAATATTGTTATATCTTGCCACGACTTGGCCAGAACTAGTCCAGCACCAAATTGTGACATGCATGAGTATATATATATATATATATTTAAATATATAGGTAGCTAACGTACCCGGATGATATTTTCTTTAAATAACTGCACACATTCTATCACTTCACGCTCGTGTTTTTATCTTTTTCTAGCTGTGATGTCCTTATCATACACGCTTGGTCCTATGTCTGAGTGGTGGTATAAGGGTTGTAGATAGTACAATATTGTTCCTGCAAGGTTACTAATTATTGCAACTAGGCGAGCAGTAGAGCTATGTTGGATTCTCCCCTTCAGATTTTAATTTGCTGTGGGTCATTGTAATTGGATGTGGTTTTTATATCATTTATGTATGCATGCGTTTTATGTTAAGGCATGGTGTTTGAGTTGACTTGTTGGCCAAGGTATAGATAGTAAAATTTTGTGTGTTTTTTTGCATGGTGTGATAAATTTTTCTCTGTCCCAAGCAGAATGTCATCATAGATCATCTATCGCTATTTAATGACAATACATCCCATTTATTTAAACAATTATTTTTTGCCTGTAATAAATAGTTCAGAGCGTTCCCCTTCACCCAATCATTGAAACATCTACTCGCGTTTTTATTTTTTTGTTTTTCAGGTTACTTCAAAGTGATTAAATGAAGTAAAACACATGAGGAAAAAATCAAAAAAAGACTCCGATATCCTGTGAAATAACAACCTTATTCCTATATCCTTGTCTGAAATCAATACCCAAGAATGAAAAACCTCACTTACACCCTTTGTAACCAATTTATTCCCACATCCTACTTTACTTAATTATAGTAATTTTACTGTTACCGGTAACTTTAATTACTTATTACAATCTGGACTATAATTTGGCAAAAATAGGCTCTAATTTGGGGAATGAAATGGTCTCGCCCACCTCTTCATGCACCCAATTCTGGCAACTTTGGTTGGGCAACTTGGCATTTGACTCCAACTATAATCAGCTTGGCAATATGTTTTCAATAGAATCTTCCTTTTATATCTTGATTAACGATTAGAAGATCGATCAATTTGGCAATGGCAACCATTACAAAAATATCAATATGGTGTGGCAGATAAATTTTTTCTTTTCTAGTATTTATTTATTTTTTTTGTTGTTTACTGTATAGTATACCCTGAATTTATCGCGTTTTATTCTTACTTAAATAACTTCTGAGTTGTTGTGTGTGTGTGTGTGGCTGGTGGGTGCATGTGAGCGTGTGTGAAATAACTTAATAATTTTAGGTGAGTAAACACGAACCACTTCCTCTTGGCAAAACCTTCCATCTTATATTTTGTACGTTATAAACCTTATCTAAGGTTTTGTTTGCTCCCCTGATTTCCTAATCAGTTTTTATTTATTTGTTTTTATCTGTGAAATGTATTGTTATGCTGATTATGGAGTCGAAATAAACTTATACTTATATACTTATACATTCCTTCCAATATATATTTACGTTCCAATTACTTTCAACATTTACCGTGCCGCGAGTAAACGAACTAGTAAACTAGTAACTAGTAAACGAATCTAATTTGTTTTATTTCGCTATCATCTTGCTGACATAGTCGCATTTGACTTTTTTGAAATTTAATACAATATTTGTGTATTTACGTGTATGCATTCGTTTGTTTGTTGTGCACGAGGATCCATCGACGCAATAGAAACAAAAAGGGCGATTAGTTAGATCTCGGAACCCCAATCGATTGCATGAGATTATGAGAGAAATTTATTGCCACAAAAACAAAGTCAACACGATTATAAACATAAGCCGATAATGAACAAATTAAGTTCTACGCTCCCGAATCCGGTAATTTCTCTTTTAACCTTGATTCACTTGGGTTGCACAAGTTGACACAAGTCAAGTCTGCAACTGCAAGTAGGCCTACGTCTAAGCCTACCAATAACAGTAGGTTGTCATCTGCTTTCCATTGAAATGAGGGAGCTTATGAATATTTAAAAAAATTGATAACGGCACATCATGACTCACCATCAACGAAGTGCTGTCCGCAAACAGTGAAACACAAGTAAGATGGCTTCTGGACTTGACACCAAGCAGTCCTGCCAATAGATGATATCCACATTGCGCGACGTTCCGGATCTTTTGAAAACAGTGAAATATAGCTGAAGATCCATTTCATTGTCTATACTATACGTACAGCCAGCGGAACAATACGAAATAACCATTTTCAACAGCCAAACAAAACGGAAACGTATAATCCGACTTGCAACTGACAAGAGCCAAATGGACGTTTTTGTTTTATTGCCGTCCAGTAACAAGGTCACGTGACCCGTGCAAGTCCTCTATATGCTCATTGGGTTGCCGGATTCGGTGACGGTATAAAACTGACAGCATCGACGCGTTCAGGTTAGGATGCAAATATTCTGTCGCTGCAAGTCGAGTTCGCCCGTCATTGCCTTTGCGGTAAGGACGCCAGAGGATTACGTTTTGCCTAGCGAGTACTCCGTATTACTGTATTAACTGTAGTCGCGACGATTATTCGAAAATATTCGGTACCAACGCATTTTAAGTATCTCAATGGTGTTCTACCGTACACAATTCTGTCTGTACCGGTACCGGTACTTTAATTTGTGGGATAGTTACGGTATTGTGTATCCAATTCTGGCAACTTTGGTCGGTCATTTATTGGCATTTGACTCCCCAGCTATAATCAGCTTGGCAATATCTTTTTAATAAACCTTAATCTTTACTGTTCAGTCCCATTTATAAAATTGATTAATTCGGCAGTACCGGTACCGGTACCAACCATTATAAAATTATTGGGTCTAGTATAGTTTAGTACCACAAGTACTTCCAGTGGGCGTAGCATAACGATTTTTGCATATGTTATTCCTAACCCTCACCTGACTATGCCATCCAAAAATTACGTCACTACGACGTCACCATCACGTCATAGGGATTGCCAAAGTATAATTACGATCGCCCGAAATGGCATCTGCGCCGCCGATAAGAACTTGCTAAAGCCAGCGATCTCTCTCCTATCGTGATCGTTGCGACGAGAAAACGAGAGAAATAGCTTGCTCGATTTCGGGTTATCGTCTGCGCGTTTTGGACGACCATCTGCATACTTCGGTGGGCCTTATTACGCCACTGTGACGTCGGAATGAAGTAATTTTTCGGTGACGTAGTCAGTTGGGGGGGGGGCCATACTAAAAAGGTAGGTATCATAGGTATCACTCACTAAAAACAGAAAAAGGTAGGTATCAGTAGTAGATGACTAAAAAGGTAGGTATCAGTGTCTAAAAAGGTAGGTATCAGTGTCTAAAAAGGTAGGTATCAGTAGTAAATGACTAAAAAGGTAGGTATCAGTAGTAAATGACTAAAAAGGTAGGTATCAGTAGTAAATGACTAAATGACTACCTTTTTAGTCATCTACTACTGATACCTACCTTTTTAGTCATTTACTACTGATACCTATCTTTTTATGGAGTGATACCTGTGATACCTACCTTTTTAGTAGGGTCCGTTGGGGGTTGGGATTGACATATGCAAAAATTGTTGAGCCAGGCCAACTAGAAGTGGATGTGGTACTAAACTATACCAGACCCAAATTATTAATATGGTGGAGCAAGTAATTTTTATTTATTTACTACCAGTTTGTAATTTATGGCATTCTAAAATTACTTTATAACTTCTCTATGGTCTGATGGTTGTGTGTGTGTGTATGGGTGCGTGTGTGAAATAATTCAATTATTTTAGGTGAGAGAACATGTACCACTTCTTCCTGACAAAACCTATCTTATCTACATTTTGTACGTTTTAAAACTTGTCTGAAGTTTTGTTTGCTCTTCTGATTTCATAATCAGTTTTTATTTATTTGTTTTTATTAATCATTTCATTGATATGCTGATTATGGAGTAGAAATAAACTTACAGCCTACTTACAAACTTATGTCATTACTCAGCTCAACTCTAAAGTCAGAAAGTTCACAATAGTAAATGTTGGTACTGTTTTATTTTAAGCATATGTTATGCTGGAAGTCCATTTGTGCGTTTTTGATAGGCCAACAAAACTGGTGAGTGAACTACTGGTATGGTATTGTACTGTATGACTGTCTTGTAGCATTTTGGCGCTTAAATTCTGACCTTGTTTGGCATGGGACATTTCTGGCCTGGTGGTGTGGCCCATCGTCAGATCGTGATAAGTGGTAAGGTTTGAATCCTGTGGGGGACAATTATGTCCCAGAGGATTGATTGCTGGACTTCTTGTCGCTGTGGGTGCACCTTTTGGCTTAGACAAAGAACCCATTAAATCGATGGCTTGAATTTTTAAAAATTTATATACAGCCTTCACCCTTCACTAACAGGCAGAAACACAGGTGTTCTGTTGAGTTATTTTTTGGGCTATAATATTGTTACAATTCCTAATTTTGCATAAAACGCGTCAACACTGAATTAAATTTAAAAACGTCCAATGAGATATATAAGCCGGTATATATTCCAGTGAAAATTTTTTATTATTTTCACCTCTTGCAGTATTGTTGATTTATTTAACCAGTATTTTAACTAAAGCAGTTAGAATTTTGCAGATTTTTTAATTAATACAATGACAGCAAGATAGCAAATTATAAACGCCAGCCGAAACGATGGTAGTGACGAACAATCACCAATTGTGAGATAAGAAGTCGGTGTAAAATGTTGCGTTGTTGCAGTTCAGTCTTCTAGTGAGTATCGACCCCAAATTTATATTAATTCTGTAATAGTAATTTGACCCATAAACAGAGCATTTTTCCTGCGTATTAACCAGTGTGTCCGTCTTTTCCACGTAAAGGACAATACATGGCAATTTCATGGAGAAATATTCTAACCTGAATTACCCTAAATGCAATATGGGCCATATTGCATTTAGGGTAATTCAGGTTAGAATATTTCTCCATATTTATACGACGGAAAGTCGATAAGATGGCTTAATTATATGGCCTCTCTTCAGGTTACCAGACCCCATGGTGGGTATAGGATTAATTAGTCAAGCATTTGTTTCCAATGCATGGACTTGATTGTGAAGAAAGCCATATGAACCACCCTCTGGGAGTGAAGAGTCCAGCAGTCCCGTCGCACATAATTATTCTCCACATATTCAAATAGTGCGATGGCAAGCGCATCCTAGCTAGCGCATGGCACAATTGGTCACATTCCATCATCATTGAATTCTTTCTGATACTATATAAACAATACTTTCATTCGTCCTGTCTTTTGCTACATTTCTGTATAATCTGTTGTAAACAGTGTTATTATGACTAAAATATAATAACTCTTGGGTTTGACTGATATCTTTGAGAGAAAATATTTCTGATTATCTCTTATTCTGAGAAAATATTTTATTTTTGGTATATGCAATTGTTCTACCCATCAATGATTTAGTTGACAAAACTTTAATATAAAAAGTTTTTTTTTTTAATTTAGTTTTGAAACAAGGGGATGTTTACGAAGGATGTAGCAGCAAAGCATACATGTTTCTTCTGGAAAGTACTGAAGTAACCACATGTTTATTGTAGTCCCGAGTTTTATATACAGTACAAATAATGCTTTGTGCAGAATCAAATGGTAAAGTTAGTCAAAAGCTGCTGTATGTCCAGTCCAGACTATAATTATTAATTAATTATTGTGTTTTAATATTCATTTGTACATTATATTTTATAGTGGCCAAATAGGTTCAGTTAATTTAATTTGGTTCTAAAATAAAAATGTTTCGGCTAGTTGCACAAAGACTTGTTCCAGCTGTGACAAAAGCAGCAATTGTGCAACCAACGCCAGTACGTGTTTTGCCTGCTATCTCCAATATTATTCGCAACTCATCAACAACTGTAGCACTGACTGATGAACAAAAGGATCAGCAATGGGTAGAATATTTTGACAATCCAGAGCTTGATTACTTTGATTTCTGCATTGGATTCAAAGATTTGTGGCAAGAGGATGCAATACCTGAGCCAGTGATCCTACAATCTGCTTTATACGCTTGCAGGAGGCTTAATAACCTTCCCATAGCGCTGAGATGTCTTGAACTAGTGCGAATCAAGTGTTGTGACAAGAAAGAAATATACGATTACATTATTCAGGAGCTTGGACCAACATTTGATGACTTGGGATTGAAGACACCAGAGCAGTTGGAAATTGACCAAGTCACAGAAAATTTTGAAACTGACCGTTTATAAATGAGTATTTTTCTGATCTAAATTTATTACAGTAAAATGAGACATCTTGTGTAAAGTAATAGGGATTGATTTTTTCAGTAATAGGGATATAAAACATGAAGTCTCGAGTTGTGTGCTAGAGTTCCTTTTACCCATATTTGGGTCATAATAATAAAAATCCTATTTAAAACGATTAAGAAGTAAGTGATGAATGTTTGAAGGAATGTTCAGGATTAATGGGATGAGTTTATAAAAATGTTCACTAATCAAGGTCTCGCACAAGCTGAAATAAGAACAATCTGGTTTGGATGCAAACGCTTCTCGTGAATTGCCAATAGCTAGGGTTGGGTTGTAAAGTTGTCAGTTAATAATTAAACATTCATGTAGCACGTATATTACTTTGAATCCATTATGTCTGATGGAAATGGGTATTTCAGCCTCTAGTTAAGCTGTACTTAAATTACAATTGAAAGTAAAAAACTAATGATGAACACATAGTCCTATAGTCACGTTTTTAAATATGTGATAATCACGAAATATATCTTGTTTGAAATTGGATGGTTAACTATTTACTACAATTCCAATTTGTGAGTACAATGTCAACAAGGCGTGACCAAATATTCTTTTAGCTTTCTGATAGCATATAAGCCATGAGATAAGTTTATTTCGACTCCGTAATTAGCATAAAAGGCGACAATGATTGATAAAAACTGATTAGGAAATCAGCAAAGCGAACACATATGATACTTGTTCCTAACTATCTAAACTTTAATAAGTTATGGTATTCAACGGGGACGTAGAAATAATTCAGATTTGTTCAATGAATTTCTGTTTTCGCAATGCCGTAAAAGAGACAGAATACGGTCTACAGGCAAAGGCAAAATGGTGACGGTTCGTTCGAGGAACTGGTATGTGAGATTCGACTCGAGTCCGGCTCATATCCAAGGTACTTCTGGAGAAAGCTATTCTGACAAGAATTGGCGGTACAAGGGCGAAGGTACGCAACTGAGACCGTCAAAGTGTTCGAGGATTCCATTTTGTTCGTGTCTATGTAATTTCCGTGCGCCAGTAAACTGCGCGCTTTTGCATCCACAGATTCTAGCACTCGGTTCCATTACATTTGAACCCATGACAATTGCACCTATGGAATTTTTTTTGTTTCACGGATAGTTAAACCCATACTAACCCTAACCCATGGGTTTTAGCACCCGCATATAGATTGAACCCGTGGATATACGCATGGGTTCAAATGTACATGGGTTCAAATGTACGGTCACCCTAGCACTCGCATGCGGGTTACATTGACGAACAGTTTCATCCACACATACATCCGCACTCGCGTTTTAAACAAAATTTCATTTTTTCATTCAAGTTTTAATGACCGGTTCACCTGGATGAGTTATAAGGCACTATGTTTATGAGTGGAAGTGGTGACTCCTCTTCGGCCCATGGGCCGGGGCCACGGCCCATCAAATTGGGCCTAGGCCCATCAGGCTATGGGCCGCGGCCCATCAAGTTGTGTGAAAGAACTATTCACTTGGCTAACACAGACGGTCCCCAAACTCATAATAGAACTATAATGTAAAAAATCTGAACAAAATTTTGCCCTAACCCTAACCTGGTACACATACTACAGGAGTTTATTTTTTGGTTCGAATAATGACAATTTTGTAGAAATTGAAAATTTTGGTAAGATAATTGAATTTTTTCTGACGGGGCCGCGGCCCATAGCTTGATGGGCCACGGCCCATGTGGCCCAATTAGATGGGCCGTGGCCCCGGCCCATGGGCCGTAGTGGAGTCACCACCCCTGTAGATGTTTATGGCATAAGTCTGTGAAGTAAAAAAGGCTTCAATGTCATTTGCGTGATGGACATCGGTGTAACTAGTAATTAATATTAACGCATTGGCTCGCACGCGATAAATGTGGATCTCCATTAACATTGTTCAAGTGAGAACTTCAAGCAGGGTAAATACGTCTCGTATAGGGTGACAGCACATTTACACCTGCATAATTTTGTCCTCCATACATTTCCACTCATAGATTTTAGCACCCGCATAAAGATTGCACCTGTGAACATTTGCACCCATGGACGTTTGCACCCGCGGACATTTGCATCCACGCACATCTGTATAAACTGGCATTTCAGTTTGCACCCACATACATTTGCATTAACAGACATTTTGGCGAGAATCGCTATAATCCCATGCCCTTTTTGTCGGCCATTTTCTTTCGATGAAATAACGCAAACGTAGTCGAATATACGGTAATTTGTAGACGACGGAAAGGGAACTAGCTGTTCGTACTATTAGTCAAGTCCGTGTAACCCCAATTGTACAAGACAAGGTGGAAGTGCTTCAAGAAAGAAGAATATATATGAGAAAAACAGAGAGCGAGGAAGGCGAAAGCAGGATTTATATAGAACAAGTTGTTTACGCCAAATTTTACACTACAGCACTTTCCTACTCTTTGTATTATTGTGGCATATTGGTGTTTTCGTCTTCATTACTATTGATAACATTAGGATGTCCCTATATTGGCGCAAATTAAAATAGAACCTCTTTTGATTCAAAGACTGGTATCAATGGATGTAAAAGTTTACGGGAGCAAAATTCCGTGGCCGCAAGTGTCCATAGATGCGAATATTCGGGGGTCCAAATGTTCATGGATGCAAATATAAGCGGGTGCAATTGTACGTAGGCGCAAATGTACACGTGTGCAAATGTTCATGGGTGCAAACATCTTCGAGTGCAAAGGTAGGTGGGAGCACATGTAAGTGGGTGCAAGTGTCCATGGGTGCAAATGTCCGTGGGTGCGAAAATAATTAAATTTAATTAAGATATGAAATTTGGATGATATTCATGGGTTGAAAATGAACGTTGGTGCAAAATTACATGGGTACACAAAGTGCCGGAATCATCATTATTCGAGGTGGGCTGAAGCCCAAGGGCCATTCGCTTTTAAACTATTCATTTATTTTTCATCAACAGGCATTATGTAGTTTTGAATTCGATTCTCTTTTTCTTTTTTGTGAATAAGTGTGATGTATCCTAGTTTTAAGTTATCTTGTGTGGTATTTTTTTCAAACATTTCGGTTAATAATTCTTGGAAATCAGATTTTATAATTTTCCAACATTTCTTATAAAATTTCACACTAATACCGTCTGGACTAGGTGTTTTTCCATCTCGCATACTTTTTATTGCTTCAAATATATCTTGTATATCAATTCCATGCTGTAATGAATCTGCATCTGCTTCAGCCATTACATGTTCATTTGTAATTTGTGCTATAAATTTTTGCTGTTTGTGTAAGTCTGTTTAGGTTTTTTCATACAATTTATTGTAAAATTGTGAGGATATAGTAATTTTTTCTTGTATAGAATTTCTTTCTACTCCAGCATCATCTATCAAACTTTTGACATTACATTGTCTTTTTTTTCTGTTCCCACTTTTGATAAAAATACTTGGTGCACTTTTCATTGTTATCCAAATTATGAGATTGATTTTGTACCATTTTATTTTTGACCCTTTCTTTATACTTCTTTACTATTGATTTCTTCAAATCATTAAACTTGGTAAGGACTCTTTGGCCCATATCTAAGCGTTTTTTCAAATCCTCCAGTTCATTTTGATCTTTGTTGTATTCTTTTCTTTTTTGTTTTGTTTTTTTGACTCCATATTCAATTGATAATTCTTTTATTCGTTCCTGTATTTCAATCCACCATTCTGTGGTTGTGTCATACAAAATTTTTAATGTTTTCCAATGCTCCCATTTATTTTCTATTTCATTTAGAAAATCTTCATCATCATAAAGAGAGATGTTGTTCTTCCAATATTCATTTCCCCTTTCCGCAAAGTCCATATTAATTTGAATTTCTACTATATATATCATGATCAGAAAGATGTGTAGGTATACTCCTTATATTCTAAGCTGTTTAAGTATTATCTGTAAAATAAATTCGGTCTAATCCAGGGTTGTCCAAAACGAATCGAATATTCGAAATTATTCGAATATCAAAGTATTCGAATACCTTTTCGGCTCATTTCCGAATAATTACGAATAGTAGTCACTTTTCGCCGTAAACATGGTGTTTCGTTTTACCGGGATCTTCAAACGACTTTGTACGCTTTCTCACGTATTGTAATGACGATGAAATAGAATCGGCATTTTGATTGTTTATATTCAGCGCGAATGTACGTCGCATAGTGTTGCGACACATTTGCACGTTTGCGTTGGTGGACATTGCCGACATTCGTCTTTTAATTCACAAAATCATTTCCATTAGTCGAAAAATCGACAATCACCGTAATAATAAGTCCGGCTAAGTTCCCGGCTAATAAGTCGCTTTTCTAGACCCAATTTTGGCTTGATTTTTTTGGGGGAGGGCGCCTTATTGAGAAAGTATGTTTATTTTATTTCTACGTGGCCTGCTTATTTTTCGCATTAGTCTTCTCAAGCATAATTTGTGTTAACCTTATATTTGGTTCTTATGGGTCTGCCAATCATGATATTTAATCGTAGGCCGGTTATCGTTATTTAAAAGAGAAATCACGGCCACCGAGATAAAGTAAGTGATTTATGACCCTTTGGTTTTGCCGATTCAGCAGAAAACGACAGGGACATGAAACACAGCTGTGAAATAACCCGTGGACGTACCGTGTGGTACTTATCACATTCCAAAATTATTTCAACATTCGGGTTGATAGGTTGTCCAAAATGATTGCCGCTTTATAGCTTAAATTTACCGCTTCATTGTTGAGAATAGTTAATTCCGTGAGTATGGTTCTACCAAACAAACACGATCTGGTTCTGACCCTATAAAATTATAGATTGTTCAAAATGATTGTGATTTTTAACTTAAAATTACCGCTTTATTGTTAAAAATAGTTAATTCTGTGAGTATGATTCTACTAAACAAACGTGATCTGGTTCTAAATATTAATATTAGCGCATATTAGCATAACTGAACAACAGGGAACAATTTATCTCCCTGTCTTCTTGGAGGCCTATATGGAAAACCCCCTTTTTTGAGTGCTAAAAATATACATCGTCCTATTTGCCATGTAGACTTATTAGCCGGAAAATACGGTATTCATAGCCGTAATTGATACGATATCTAATAAATTGTCACAAGTTGAGAAACAAGTTGATTTATTAGAAAAATACTTTCACCCGCTTCCTGGCAAATAATTTTGATAATGATGGTCAAAAGTATCGATAATGAAAGTATTAATACCAAATACCACGGGTATTTGTGGGCATGAAATGTGTGGTAAACTGCCCAATTATAATTAATTTCGGATTCTTATTTACAAAATATTAAAACTATTATAACTCAAAAATACAACGGCGATTTGTGGACTCGAATGTGTAATAAAGTATAAATTATTTTTCCGACTTGTGACAATTTTTTCGTGAGTACGAAAATAAGAATCAAAAATTAATTATATTTGAGCACAATATCACGGCATTCTGTGGACATAAATTGTGAGGCAAACTCGCGATTGATATTAATTTTTGATTCCTATTTTCGTATTTACAAAATACAACGGTGATCTGTGGACATTGAATGTGTGGTAAACTACCCGATTATAAATAGTTTTTGAACCCTATTTTCGTATTTATAAAATAATGAAAGTATTATTACACAAACATACAACGGCGATCTGCGGACTTAAAATGTGTGGTAAAGTTCCCGAATATAATTACTTTTTGATTCGTATTTTTGTACTCACGAAAAAATTGTCACAAGTCTGAAAAAGAACTCATACTTTATCCCGCTTTTTGACAAATAATTTGGATAATGGTTGGTATTTAAAAGTATGGGCGTTTTACTAGGATGATTTTGTGTTGCGCAAATATTCAAATCCATCACCGATACCACTATTTAAAATGCCTTGTCGTATTATTTTAATTCTGTTAATTAACACAACTCATGTTATATAAAATATATATCGCAATTATCTGCAAACATGAAATGCCTGGTAATATAGCCAGGTTGTAGATAGAAGTTATTCCATTGTTTATTGTATGAAAATTCCTTCATACACTTAGATTCTATTACTGGATTTTATTTTCGAAGTATTCGAAATTTCATATTCGAAAATAATAATTTCGAATGTATTCGAAATAGTGAACTATTCGGTATTGGCCATCCCTGGTCTAATCGAGCCTGTACAGTGTTGTTTCGCCAAGTGTAAAGATTTTGTCCATTCGGCAGATATTCTATGTACGTCTTCTTCTCCTCTTACTTTTGTTTTCTTCTACATTTTCACTTCCGGTCGATTCATTGTCGGATCTGCTTGTTGATATGATATTACTGGAGTGAATTTCATTTGTATGCCGATGTAACTAATCGTACTGTCATTGCTGGCACTGTCTGGGTTCGAATTTTGTGCATTAGTGTTTTGTGTGTCCATTCCTTTGGTGTTATTTCCTTCATCATTTTCATCGCTTGTAATTGAGCTAATGTTTGAAATATCAAATACATCCTTTTCGCCCACGCCAGCTACGAGTGTAGGGGTACTTGAAGTCTTATTTTCTGATTATATTTCTTATTTTTCTTCACTTGTTTCTTCCCCTGAGTTATCTATTGTTCCTTTTTCATTATGTTTTTTCTACTTGTTTTTATTTGTTACTTTTTCATTCTCTCTATTATCTTCATATTCTTAGTTTTTCCTTTGATTCTGTCTATTTTGCAAAGCAGGGTATTCTTTTTCATATATCAAGTTGGAGATTGCATTTTTAGCATCTTTTTCATATGTGTATTTCATGTTTATTTTGCAAAGCAAGATATTCTTTTTCACATGTCAAGTTGGAGATTGCATGCAACTTCTATTTCAATCTATTTGGGTGACTGGCGTGAGTATCTTGTCTGTAACTAAAATTTCGTAAATCGGGTGATTCCCTTCTACAGCCGGAACGCCCATATGGGTTTACTTTACTATAGTTTTTAAATTTCGGTACTTATAGGGTCAATATCGCTCTTAGCTTTTATCGAGGTGATATGAGAGAAGCAATAAAACCTTCCAGCCGTGACGCAAAGTGCGAATCGTATAAATATCCTGGATTTCAAAATCACCTGTCAGAGTCTGAAAATGTTGACTCAGCTCAGACAGGAAATACTCCTTTATAACGACTTATTATTGTTTTAGCATGTAATTTCATTCATACTAACTATCCCTGACCATCCCTGGCGCTGTGTTGTTTTGATAAATATGATTTCGACTGCTCCATAGTTGGCAAAGGTATGGAGATTTTTTGTATGTAAAAAAAACGTAAAATTAATGGTAATTTTAACGCGTAAATGCGCGTATGGGATTGTTTACGCCGTTCTACGCGCATTTCTGTCGAAAAAATCAAATTTTTTTTGCATTGGGGGTGGTCTGTGCAGTAATAATAAGAGCTGTGACGTCATCAATATCGGTAATTGGACCTTGAACTTGACAATACTGTAAATACAATTGTGAATTTCAGAGTAATAACCATTTATGCTATAATAGTCGTTTTGGTATTGTTATGTTAGGAAAAACTTGACGAAAACGTTGAAGAAAAAATTAATTAATTAGGAATTAATTATTAACCCTCTACTGTACACAGAATATCTCAAAATCCAATTTTTTTTCGAGGAGTGTGTTTTAAAGATATATTGCTGAATAGAACTCTAGCAGACGCTTTTAAAAAGCCATGAGTAAAGCTTTAGGGCTTAATGGTTGACATAAAAAATAAGTTTAAAAATACCCATAAAATGGGCAGGGCTTGGAGCTTGCATTGGGTTAATAGATATTTATAACGTCCCGATACATTGTACAACGCGGAATAAAATCCTATTATGACGTCGTTGAAAAATGGCTTCACGGGCGGCGTCCCTGTCATGGTCCTAATCCGACCCTGGGTGCAAATAACTTTCAATGCAAATGTTCATGGGTGCGGTTGTCCACGGGCGCAAACGTACGAAGGTGCAATTCATATGTGGGTGTGAAGGTGCAAATGTACCAGTACTTTTTTGTATCATTACGGAGTTTAAAATAAAATATCTCATTCAAATCAGAACGAAAAATTGCCATGACCATAAGGAGCATGATAACCACTGGTCTCTCTACCATGCAATAACAGAGATCGCAGATCGATTTTTATGCCAAAACTTTAAAAAACAGCAACGCTAAATGCATGTGTATTCAGTTGGCGAATAAAATATTTCTTTTGACCCATAACGCCAGTGAATATGGTGTATCTTAAATAATTCGATGGCTACAATATATAGTTGCTGATCGTAGCATCGGCCGTGGTTTGCAATAGGACTAATCCATCGTTACTCTACTGATTGGAAAAATATAAAATGAAAAAAATATATATAATGCTACTACCGGTAAAAAGAGAGCATTACACGTGGGACAATAATAAGCTCAAGTGGTATCTGAGGATTTTATTGCAATCTTCAATCTTACTAAATCACCAACATGTGGTGTAAAAATTGAATTAAAGATGACTAAAAGTATTCGTAAGTACATAGTCATTATGACGTATTACCCATTATGACAAACCGAAAAGGAAACAACGGCGGTAAACCTTTTCAGTCTCTCACACGTGAATACGTATTGTCAATGACGCGCTGTCGTCGAGGACGTCATTCGGACATGTTGCGTAATAATGGTATTCGAAGGTCATACGCTGCTCGCGGTGATTTCATCATATTTCGCATGTCACAAAGCTGAAGCTTGTCGTTTCGTTATTTTCCAAAACGTATTATCCCCGTCAACTAACTCGTTGGAACTACGCTATACCGATATATAAAGACTCTTATAGTGATAATCCAGTGTTATAATCTGAAACATGGTCTGGATATCTTTTGATGAACACGTGTTTCGTCATTCATGGGACAAAGTAGTTGAGGCGGCTTTGCGAAAGTACCCAAATCCTGAGACGCCGAACGTTTCAAGTACGGATATTCTTGAAAGAGAAGTTGATGAAGACGGAAAGTTGATAAGTCGCCGAATTATATCCTCATATTGGAGTAATGTCGGAACTGATATCGTGAGGGGACTAACAGGCATTGACTTATCAAAAACTGTTCATGCTCTAGAAATTTCTGTGTTAGACCCCAAAGAAAAAAAATACGAACTTACATCAAAAAATTACAACTTCTTAAATTATATAACAGTAGATGAGAGATTGACATATGTACCACACGAAACAGAACCTGACACTACACTATTAAAACAAGAATGGTGTATTTCAGTGCAAAATCTTGGATTCCAAAGTTATCTAGAATCAATGATGGGCACCACTATGAAAAGCACTGCCTCAAAGGGTCGTGAGGGAATAGAATATGTTATTTCTCAAATAAAAGAAGAAATGGAAAAATTTGCAACACCTGTGGTTGAAGAAATGCAACAACTAGCGGTTACAACAATGAAAGAATTCAACAGTGTCCAATCAAAGCTGGAAGAAGCGCAAAAAATGTTACAAGAAAAAAATTTACAAGATGAACTTGCAGACTTTATCACAAAAGCATCTTCTCAGCCAGATAGGAAATCTGATTTTTCATCAAGTTGATGTTCTTTTCACTTATTTATTTAATTTATGTTATTAATGTATTTATTTAAATCAGATGCACACTAGGTAATCAATTGTTATTAATTAAAATTTGACTATTTTCCTCTGATGGTGTTTTGATAGTTTGAAGTGAAGTTGTCATTTACAACCATATTTAGGTACTATGCAGAAATATAATACTATGTTGTGTATTGTAATTCTAAACTTATTTTCCCAATCTGGACTGGATTTTCAAATAATGTGTTGATTATAAAAGTTTTATACTGTTTGATACAGACATTGGCTTCATTTTCACTGCCTAAGGTTGTAGTCATTGATAGTCATCTATATCGGAAATGATAAATTAAAACCTAACCCATTCGAAAGTTATTTTAACATTTGTAATTACTGTAGTGATAAATATTTGATTTGCAGAGGCAAAAAAGTTTCAATTACTGAAATTGTATTCTGAAATAATATATTTATATATGAAAAATGCTGCATGGATATTAATGACAATTTCTCAGGGAGGGTTTATTTAGTTCAACCACTGAGCTATCTCCGACTAAAATTTATACTACCTCAATGGCCAGTGTCACAACATGCGGCAGGGCCTGTTGTCAAAAGCACAAGACTCTTAACTGATTGTTTTGGTGCTATACTTATCCACACCCCATATTACTAGATGAAGAACATTTTGATTCACGTTATTAGGGACTAACAGAGTCTAAGAAATATATAAGTTGTGTAGGAGAATAAGTAATAACATGTAATCTCATCATTTTATACATAGTCACACAACAAAAAGTTCAGTTTGAGAATTGTAGCTATGTTGAAGCACTTTAGATTGGTGACCGTACATTTGAACCCATGTACATTTGAACCCATGCGTATATCCACGGGTTCAATCTATATGCGGGTGCTAAAACCCATGGGTTAGGGTTAGTATGGGTTTAACTATTCGTGAAACAAAAAAAATTCCATAGGTGCAATAGCATACAGGTGCAATTGTCATGGGTTCAAATGTAATAGAACCCTTTAGATCATTTGCGGCATATAAGTTGCTAATTGCGTGTACTAGCATGGAGATGATGTGTATAAGATTCTTTGAGAGAACAGTTTTGTGTTGTCCCAATTATTTTTCGCTCTTGACTGTTGCCCTTTTCAAAGCGCTTTTCTATCATTGTTGTGTAGTGTTAAATCATTTGTATAACTATTTTGACTGTACTGTTGGATTATTTCATTTCTCAGTATCACAGATATAGGGTCTATCATGACATTTAGCAACAATGGTTGTAGTTGTGTGAATGCACTGGTATTGCTTAATATTCAAGACATTTTTTCGTCAGAAAGAGTGTTTTACCATATATGCCCTCGAGTTCTTGAAGAAGTGCATTATTTTGTATGCAGCTCATCTTTGTTAAAATTTTCACTCGAATATGCGAACATTTTCCTATTGAACATGGTAGAATTTGTTCAATTCTATGAGAATATATTGCCATTGATTTGAAGCTATTTATATTAAAAAACTCAAAACTACTGGTAAATATATGCTTCATTGGTTTAAATTGCCTTTTCCCATATTTCTGTGCCAATTATATGTTATAAATATATTTGATAATTGTGGGGTTTATGTGACAAGAGAACATTTCTAATTTAAAATATTTGAGCATTGTTGTTGAATGTTTGAGTGCGAAGTTATTAAAGGATTCATATCAAATATTGAGTGTGAAAATATCATATATTTTGATAAAGCTTTCTTTTCAATAAATTATTTGTGTTAGGTCTATGTTGAAATATCTACAAATTATTAGCAAACTTCCTTTCATGAAATACTGACTCAGATGGTTCATGATCATTTCTGGGCGCTAACAGATACAAATTTTATAGTGATATAATTTGCTGATGATGATATAATTTTCATACTTCGACATGTAATACTTTATATGTTAATATCTTCTCATATATTCATATGTAAATGATAAAATAAACATCTGATTTGACACTATTTCACTTTTTCGTTAATAAAAAATGTTTTGAATACCTAGAAAATTAAATTACTCTGACTTAGATTAGTTAGTAAAATGATGGGTGGTCGCACAACTATATTTCAACTTTGCAGAAGATTAGCTTTGTGTAATGACACTGTATCATTGCATCAAGTTACTCCAATCACCACTCGATGTGATTCATTGATTGTTAGTAGTGATTGCTCAAATACAAAGTTCATCAGACATAAAAGCACAGCAACATATTCAGAAGAAGTGTTGGAAAATGAAGAGAGAAAAAAGTATGTATACAATGTGCTTCATCACTTTCAAGTAAAGCTCAGTAGTTGCGATGTATCGAGTATGTACTCTGATTCCACAACCATGTCCCATTTTGCACAGACATCAAATTTCCCAAATAGAAATATTTATTTTCCTGTTAATGCTCAATCTAGATAGCTTCTTATTTCTGAGAAGCTACTCCATTCAACTGAGGTAATCAAAGCAAAAGTTCTAACACTAAAAAAACGGTACTCCTGTAGTGTGTGTACCAGGTTAGGGTTAGGCAATAATTTTATCCGGGTTTCCCTATTTTAGTTCTATTACGAGTTCGGAGACTGTGTTAGTCAAGTCAATATATCCCCTGCCCATAGACTTCAGTCCCTTCACACAACTTGATGTAAAGTAGCTGAACAAAATTAGTTACTATACCTCCATATCGAACATTGGTACACACACTTCTGTCAAAAAAGTATATTATGCACTAATTATCTGATCCAATTTAGTTACGAAAGCAAGTATTGTGCGAATGTTATATTCTGACTTTATTTTAGATTTTCTAGCAAAGCAGAAGAAGAGGAATACTTCAATTTGGCAGAAACAATGCGAAGAAGGATTCAACCCAACAGGAAACGGCAATTCTACCGGAGTGAATATTCTAGAGATAAATCTGATTCTAGATTCAATACTTCAGAAGGATATGATTATGAAGATGACGATAGATTTTCAAGTCGAACACGTCGCGACAATTCTTTTTCTAATGATTATTCAGGAAGTGAAACACGCAGCATGGAAGATTTGTGGACTGAACTAAATCAGAAAAAGATTGATTTTGGCGATGTTTCAGAGTTAACAAAAAATGTTTACACAGAACATCCTGATGTTACAAATCGGCCTAAGGTAATTCAGTCATCAACTTTACATCTGCATAGCTGAGCTGGTTCAAATCTATGTAATTAGACTTCTTTAATAACATTGCTCAATGAAAGTCAAAAGTAGAAAATTTTCTTGTAGTGTGATCTCTATTTTCTAGCTTGTGGTTAGAAAATTTTTTTGTTGTTCTATCGGTTTGACCAAAAAACATGAACCCTACAGGGTAGCTAATTCACTGCTCCATTTTAAGAACGATTCATAGCTCTGAGTGTAAGAATAAAAAAGGATATCGAGTTTGTAAAAGTATACGAGTTGTTATAATACTTTGTCACTTATGACAACACTTATGTCTCACTTTACACCATCGTCTTCTTTTCTCACTAAATGTTATGACTTTGATATTGTCACCAGTTGTCTGCCGTTGTCATCACCTAACTTGAGAACTTTGTTGAGCAGTAGTATACCAAGTTTACCTTTTTTATGACCAATTACATTTTAGGAAGAGGTTTTAAGATTTCTCGGAGAACATCAGATAACAATCACTGGAAAAAATAAAAAGAACCCAATATTGAGTTTCAATGAAACTTGTTTTTCAGGTAATTAGCAAACAGAACACATTTCAATCTCATTTTCAACTTGGCATCGGGAGCTCACAAGTCACACACCTATATTAATTTGTCGATATTTTCCAGATGAAGTTTCTTTAGCTTTGGAGAAAATGGAATTTACTCAACCTACTCCAATTCAGTCAATAGGATGGCCTCACGCATTATCTGGTAATGATATTGTAGGAATTGCCCAGACTGGATCCGGAAAAACGCTATCTGTGAGTTGAAGCTGTTACTTGGTTACTTGCTATCATAAAACATCCGCTTTTTCATGCATATTACAACAGTGGGCAAACCACGGCTCGCAAGTCGCATGCGGCTTTTGAGAGTTTTTATGCGGCTCTTCTCGCTAGCATAGAATTCGATCCAAATTCAACTATAAGAGAATCTGTAGTGCAACAGTTTGTTTTAAATTTATTAAGCTATTGAAGAAGTGTTCTTTTGTGGTTGAGACAAATTATGTTTCAGTATGAAAATCGTGGTAGCGTGTACATGTTTGTTGCTGTGTTGGCGGTATTACAGCGTGATTGTGGTTAGTCTTAGTCACAGTGCGATATGTCCCGCACTGCATTGTCTACATATTGCCCAGACTTTCAAAAACTCACAGATAGGATGGAAACATGCAAGTCAAATCTCAATAAATACTTTTTAATATCATTTATTGTTATTAGACGTTTGGGTAAATTCTCTGTTCAAGGTATTCTAATATTATTAATTTCGGAATTATGCGGCTCCTGCATATTTTTGACTTGCTGCATGCGGCTCTTATACTAAAAAAATTTGCCCACCCCTGGCATATTATATATAGCAAGGGTGGGAAGGTTTTTTGACCAGGGGCCAAAAATTTTGCCCACCCTGACTGGCGGGCCATGTAAGTGTGACATAAAAAATTAAATTTTTTCAACAATATTTACTGTGTCACAACAGAAAAAGTGGAAAACAATAAGCCTTGAGCCAAAACTCGATTTAATCGCAATCTCAACAAATTTCTTGAGCTACTTTTTAGCTAAAATATCAAAATTTGGTGTCAGTTTGGTTTTGGCAGCACCAGGCAGGCCAGATTGAGGTGCCCAACGGGCTGGATTCTACCTGCGGGCGTATTTTGCCCGTGTCAGATATATAGACATCCTATCTAAATATTCCAAATTTGTTACTCATTAGAACATTTAGAAGTCTGCTTTTAATGAAAGATCATTTTCTTGCTTTGTGTCAATTTTATATGATAACCTATAAATGTGTAATTCAAGAGTCCTGCTGCACACTAACACAAAAAACCAGATTTTGTGTTAGTGTGCAGCAGGACTCTTGAATTGCATAATATGGTATTTTATTCCTGCTACAGCATCCTTGCATTACATGCATACGGATCCACTAGCGCAAAGGCATAGAGAAAGGATTGGGAGTTAGTCTGGCGCAACCTCTACTGATCGCTATAAATGTGTATTTACAAATTAGCAATTGACTCATTGTGACATATCATGATGTCACTCTCACAATTTGTAGTTTTCATATATACTCATTGCTGATTGACTCACTATTATCATACATTATGTCACTACAGTAATATTTCTGGAAATGTTATATTCAACTTCTCTTTTTATAATTTTATTATCCAGTTCATCTTACCTGCGATACAACATATTACGGAACAAAGAAAAACATTGAATAATAATGCTGGTCCGATTGTAAGTTATAATATTCATTATTACAATATTTTAATGTATTATAATTAGGGCTGGGAATGGTTAACCGGTTAACCGATTTCAGATGGTTAACGGTTACGATTTATTTTACCGTTAACTAACATCTCAGGTACAAATCATCTTCATACCGTACAATTTCTTCAAATATGATTACATCATCGCAGATTTATCTCTTGTGGCATTCAATTCAAAAGATTATTACTAACCGTGTGGGTAAGGACTCAATAAATGTGAAAAATAATGGAAGTACCAAAATTGCTGATTATGGAAATTTGACAATGATGAATTCAGAATCAGTTTTCGGTCGATTTCAAAATATATTGTTCACGATTTCATTGCAAAATCGGATATTCAATGTCATACAACAAGTGCGCAGTTGATGCCGTTTTTCTTTATGATATATATCTCGAAGTAAAATTTGCACATCGAACACTGATAATTTGTCACATAAATGACGTTTAACAACGGAATCAGGTTTTCTAAAATACCTCAACACGCCCGAACCACGCTGCCTATCTCTTGAAGCAGAGCAATCATGAAACTATCTCGATTCGAGAATAATTTTAATAAGCGATACCGGGATAAGAACATGCGAAATTGCTTTATAAGCATTGTGACGTAACAAGCTGAAATTATAAATTATAACGTCAAACGCCATGCGGTGGTGAACCGGTTAATTTTACCCGGTTAACGGTTGAAGTGTTTTCCCTGAAATTCCTAGCCCTATTATGATCTGTATTCAGGCATTCTTTGCATTTGATTGCAGGGAAACAATTAAATTCATTAGGCTATGTTTTTTCCTATGCTTGGTTAGTTTGCAGCAGACCACTTATCTTGCCCCAAATTTGACAATGTTTACTCCAACCTCTGAGTATTCAACCAAGGTTAAATTTTACTTGCAAGAATTTCAAGTAGGGAATTCATATTATTCTACAGGAAAGATTGCATTTTTGTTAGCATTTCAATTTGCAACCTCCTCTGTTGCTTGATAGATGTTCTTATGCTCTCCTTACAGATAGACTGTCAGTCATTTAATCGAAAAAATTAGGCATTGTTGCATGCATACCTGTAGTTATATTAACTCAGCACAATCAATTTTGAGCATCTTCATTCTGAATTGTTGTTGAGTCATATGATACATTTGAAGATATAAAAATTACAGAGGGGAAATTTAACTTTTTGAAATTTTGAAAACAAGAGGAAGGTTTAAACCTGTGCTTCAGCCATGTGCCTGAAGTTTTATGCAGATTCTCACCCAATAGCGCTGCTCCGTTTATAACATTCATGAAAATTTAGCACAAATGATCAGATGACAATGACAGCTGACGGGCATCATCGGATAAATACTTCCATCGAACAGATAGTTTCGATATTAAAATTTGGTTTGAGAATTGATAAAATTGGTTCATTGAAAAGTTTAAATCTTCATCTTAAGAAAATAGGAATAATTCACATTTCAGCACTTTATAATTTTTGTGTTTAATAAATATGATAGCTTACTAACTGCCAATTTACAGGCTTTGGTTCTCTGCCCAACTCGTGAACTTGCATTACAATGTCAAGATGTTGTTAAAAAATTCCATAGAGTCTGTAGAATCAATAGTGTTGCTGTATATGGAGGACAATCGAAAATTATACAAGAGGATCAACTTCATAGACCAAGTGAGTCTTTTGCACTAGGTCTGGCGTTTGTTAGTATTCTATGTTTATCGCATCTTCCCTTACACAGAAATGAATTTTCCTGTCCAATTTTGTATATACAATTTGTGCTTTGGGACAATGGGAGTGAAAAAATAAACTCCTGTCTGGTTGATTTGAAGAATAAATTAGGTTAATAATAACGTACAAATAATGATGTAGCGAAGAGGGGGCTTGCTCATAAGCCTGGTATAGAATTTGCTCTTGTGCTTGATTTAGATATTCGTTAATTTGGAGATTTTCTTCTATTTACAGAACTTGATCTAATTATTGCAACTCCTGGAAGATTATTGGACTTTCTGACATTGGGAGTTGTATCTTTACGGCATTGCAGTTTTGCTGTATTGGATGAAGCAGATAGAATGTTGGATATGGGTTTTGAACCTCAGATTCGAAGTTTGATGGGACAGATTCGGGTCTGTGAAATTATGCTCTTGAGCTTTATTGTGTGATTTTATATGTTAGTTTTGTTGGCATAATCAATTTAAGATGAATGCAGAAAAGTGATTTTTAGACTCATGAACTATGCTTCTTTCATTCCAACTACACTGGCCCGGCGGTGTGGCGCGGTGTGCTGAGTGTTAGGAATACGCTCGCCACCGCACCTCTGATTACCCTGCATGGGTTCGCAGATTCGAATCCCATGCGAGAGAATTGCTGGACTCCTCGCCGCCGTAAGGAGGTTCACTTAACTGCTGGTCGGTTACGGCTTCCTCTATCATCAAGTCCATGCATCTGAAAACAAATGACTGGCTAACTAATCCCATACTCGACATAGACTGGTAATCGGACGAGTGGCCGTGGTTTGCCATGTGATTGAACCGTCTTGGACTTTCCTCTCCCCCGGGATAAATAGGTAAATCCTATTCTAACGATATCTCCCCAGTTTCCTCTATCTTAGAATTACAGTCCACTTCATCTTTTCTCTGATTCGCCACAAAGTCCCAAGAGCAACATATGCTTTTAAAAATTTCCTATCTTTAATAAATAATGGTACATAGTGGAATGAATATTCCCATGCATTTGTTGTCTTCATTTTGCATGCCTCCACTTTTCTCATTGTTTTTTGGAAATAGCTTATTGCTTACAAATAAAACACTAATAGATTAAGATAACTAGCATGAAAATTCTTTTAAGTAAACTATCACTGATTGAATGAATGACATATGCCATATATAAGGTTTAGCGAAAAAAAAAAAAAAGTAACAAATATAAACACAGGAATTCTTAATTAAATAGCCGGATCGTCAAGTTCTTATGTGGAGTGCTACATGGCCAGAGGAAATCCAGGATTTGGCGTCAGATTTTCTGAAAGATTATATGCATGTGAAAATTGGATCACAACAACACACAGTGAACGCCGATATAACACATGAATTTCAGTACTGTATGTCACATGAAAAAGTTGCCTTGTAAGTGACTCGACGAGTTCTCTATAAAGATTGCAATAAAAATTGAATTTAGTTTAACTGAAATTGCCACTTGTAATATATACCAGGTTACTTGATCATCTTCAAGCAAATCCTGATGATGAAAACAAACGTCATTGTGCTAAAACACTTGTTTTTTGCGCAACAAAAAGCCAATGTTCACGTCTACAAGGAATACTGCGCAGAGAGGGTTTTTACGTTGATTCACTTCATGGGGACAAATCACAGTCGCAACGGGATTTTGTAATGAGAAGTAATCTGTAATTGATTTTTGAATTAGGATTACATTTTTGATGTTAGTTTGTGACCGATAATTTTAAGTTGTTGTATTCAAAGTATTTATTTCAGCTTGAAACGGGGTTCATACGGGTTGGAATCATTAAAAAATAACTTTGTAAGTAAATAAGATCTTGGAAAAGTTTTTAGCAACCAGCAGAACAAAGGTCTCGCTGTGATATGATATATCCACCTTCGTTATTATTTTTGATCCAAAGAATACATTGTGTATTTCCTAATTTTTTATTTTATTTCAAACAGATTATAGATCTGGAAGAATATCTGTTTTGATTGCGAGCGACGTTGCAGCAAGAGGTTTAGGTACGATTATAATTGGAAATAGTTGTCTCTCTTAGTTTTTGTATATTTTATGTTGTTAGACATGCAGGAGTGTGCCGACTATCCATCACTGTATCGTTTTAATATGAATCAGGTCTTAAAGGCTTATGTCCAATGATGTGCCTAATGAGTGGACTCTCAAATACTTATTATCTTATGTTCATTTGAAAAACAAAGTAATTTTAGTTGCAAGTAGTTATGGATTTTTATATTGTTTAGATGTTTCTGATATACAATTCGTTGTAAATTATGATCTCCCAAACAACATCGACAGTTACATTCACAGAGTTGGAAGAACAGCTCGTGCTGGCAAGAAAGGAAAAGCAATCAGTTTTATAACAGTGGTAAGTTGTAAATTACAAAAATATTATTTCTTGACACATTCACTAAGTAGTTCAAGCATTATTTTCAATTTTGTAGGAAGATTTAGTTATGGCAAGACCTTTGATAAATGTTCTCGAAGATGTTGATCACCCTGTTCCAGATATTCTACATCACCTGACTGAGAAAAGAAAGAAAATGCGAACATATAGTTAGTAAATTAATTATTATACATTTTGTTTCGTTCTTTGTCAGATATTTCACTTAGATCAGGGGTCTTAAACTCAATTTACCAAGGGGCCATAGTCTGGGTGGGTCTGGGCCGCATCAGGTTTTCCATAATAAAAGCTTAGTTTAAAAAATTTCAGAACTTATAATAAATGTATTAATCAAGCGAACTGAGCATAGTGACTTGAGCCCCCTGACTTAGATGCTTGAAGTCTCCTCTACACTGCCGTTTACTTCAATTGGTAATGATACACTTTTTATAATCATCGGGTTTTAATCCTAAAATCGAAGCCATGCCATCCTCAAAACAGAAACGAGAACAAGTTTTTTTTGAAATATATATTACTCTGTGTATATTTCATTATTGCATTTGCAGAAAGAACAGACAACAGAATGAACAGGAGAAATTCATATCCACGATATTGACTGAAAAGGCAGAATTAAATGTGAATCGAATCGTCACAGACTAGAAACTTTGCGAAGCATCAGGTTCAAAAGTGTCGCGATGTTGACTGACTGCATAAATAAATTCATTCGTTTCATTTCGAATAACTGATCTATTTGCATAAATTGGTTATAAAGTTAATAGGACGAAGCAGGAAGTTGAGGATACCTGAGAATTTTGACCAATAGACGTAGTACTGAAATACTGGTGTTAATAATCAATCATACTGCCACTGGTTATTAAGATCTGTTTCTTGCATAATTTTTTTACTTTTGATGGTATGAAAATATAACACAACTACCAAACAATCCTAGTGTTTATTCATCTCACTACATAAGACCCCACTACTTGCTATTTCTCAACCGGTTTAATATATAGTAGGGAACTACTTTCATTTGGCCATAGTTTTATGTCTCTTCAAACAGTTCATACCGCAAAATTGATAATCGAGATACTGAAAAGGAATTTTTCCAAGAAGTGATTCACCACATAGCCAGCATCGCTTTACTGTAATGCTGGTTCCAGCACCATTATTTGCTATATTTTTGGCAAGCCTTCGTTCAGCTGCAATTGCCCTCTTTTCTCTATCCGACAACGCAGCAAATCTTTCTCTATCTTGTTGTTCCTGTTCTTCCTTCAGCTTTATTTCATTCTGCTCTTTTAGTTTCTCCTTTTTTGCAGACCTTTGAGCTTTCTTTTTCTCATTTAGTTTCTTTTTTCGTTCCTTTTCCATTTCTTCTGTTAATGGAGCGGGAATGCGAGCATTTTTATAATCATATTTTTTAGGATTCTCTGCCATAAATTTTCTAAATATGTTACGCGTTGCCTTATCAGAGCTAACGGTATATGGAACAGCAGACGATTTATTTTTGGTTGCTGGCTCAGCTCCAGATTGCAAAAGATACCATATAATCTCGGAATGTCCAGCTTTTGCAGCGATGTGTAACAGTGTTTCACCTTGTTTTCCGATAGGTTGATTTAGATGTAAAATCATTTGATTCGTGTCATTTACATTCTGCATAACATCCGAGGAATTCAGAATTGCTTTCAAACCATCAAGATCTCCAACTTTAACCACTGTAAAAAGCTCGTCGATAACATCAGGAAGTGCTGGTTCTTCCACAATTGCAGTTATAATAGATTGGTCTTGAACTTTCATCTCCTTTTTAACAGTCTTTTGTTTCTTTTTTGTGGAAAAAGGTTTATCAGAGGTTTTGGAATTATTTACATCTATGTTGCTAGTGAGTTCTATTTCCGATTCCTTCGCTTTCCCTTTGTTGGCTTTTTCATCTTTATTGGTGTCTTGCTTGGTTTTATCTTCATTATTTCCCAGACTGTTTTCTACATGTAACTGAATAGAGTACAATTCTTTGTGAACCCGTTTTATCTCATTGAAAGTAGGTCGACGTGTGGGAAATGGTATACCACTAATCCGTGCATCTTTTCGATCAAATGGTGCAGTTTTACCATTATAAAAGATTCCCTTATTGTAATGTGGTGCTCTAAGAAAAATATGAGTGCAATTGGAGAGTTGCTCTTTCCATGAATTTAAAAGGGTTTGAATATCTGCTGTCAGTGCATCTATATTATATCGTCTTAATGTGGCACCTGCAGATTTTGAGGCATTGGCATTCTGCTTATCTTTGACGCTTTGAACAATTCCCTGCTTAGCTCGTAAAACATATCGATGAAATGTTTTATGAACCTTAACTTCATCGCCTTCATAAACCGCAGCAGCAAAATGTCCTGCGCTTAGCAAGATAATGCAAAACTTGATATGATGCATTAAATGTGTTTTTATATCACATAATGTTATAGTTGGTGGGGTTTCTTCACTTATTTTAGGTAAAATACATCTGTATACTGATAACAGTTGGTTTTTTGAATTCCTAAAATATTCTTTTGGTCCTCTTTTTACTGGTGATTCAAAGTTGTCATTATTTTTTACTGATTCATTTTTCATAACAGGCATTCTATAAAAAGCTTTCTCTACTTTGGTTTTGTTGTTGTAAATTGAATCATCAGGGTCGTCTGATTCACTTTCTGATCCAGAAATACTTGAAATATCATCAATGATTTCTTCAAATCTGCCCTCTGTTACAAATGGAGCACCGAGAAGCTTGAGTTTTAAATTATATCTGTGCCAGTCGGACCTATAATGGTCAATCTGGTTTTCTCTAGATGCAAACATGTAATCGCATGTCATGCAGTGTGTCACATCATCCCCTTCAGACAATTTCTCAGATGAATCGACTTCTTGTTCTGATACCATTTCTGTTTGGATTAATTCACCAAGCTTCAACCCTTCAAGTAATGATGACAGAATTTTGTCATCAGACAGTGAAATTTTCGTCATATCGTAGTTTAATCAGTATTTCCAAATTGGGCTCTAGAATATTAGATTTGAGATTTTAATTTGCAAAACTATAATATAAAAAAAATTTATTACTTAAACTATTTAATTTCACTTTACTTATCTGACACTGACAGCAAGGGATTCAGGTATATCAGAATGTAAGTTAGCGATATACTGATAGATTATGTTACATTGTAACTGTGTAATGGAGTAACTTCCTCTCGTGATAATTTCTATCATAATCACATTCCTAACAGTAACATTAGAAGTATTGCAGTAGGTATTATGCAATTCAAGAGTCCTGCTGCTGCACTAACACAAATGTATTTCTGTAACGTTTTGTCTGAACAGAAGCAGAATTCCCCAGACAAGCACTTTACAGCAATAACCAATCAGAAGTATTGTCCTAATCTTAAATATCTTGTCTCGTTAATCATACGCATGGTACATTTTATCGAAAACTAAAATCTTCATAGATGACGTACGCTTGAGTGTATGTACTTATCTATGATATCTAGAATATGGCTTCCAAATATCTTAGGTTGTTTTGACAAACCAAGGAGTTCTAAGCTGAATATCTGCGTGACCCTTGTTCATTAAATCGACACAATACAGCTTGATCGACGAGGCGCAGTTCTTACCACTCCATGGCAGCTCCTGCCACGAACGAACCGCGGCAGCTCTTGCCATGGTTTTATAGCGCTATTCTGTATTCAGTAATCAGTATTAACGGTATATTCACAAACTAATGTACCAAATTCTAATTGATCATGCGGAATTATATCTACTTAAACCCTAACCCTAACCCCAAATCCATCAAGACTGTATCCATAAGAAAAACGTTCGAACTTACCCAATATTTGTCACCATAAGGGACAGCCCTGTCCTTACGACCCACCTGCCGCGGTCACGGCAGCAAAATTTTACCTGACATTGGTTTGTGGCAGCTAAAAAGTCAGTCGCCATAGGTTTGACCGTAGCGGCCATGGTATGGAAATACCGCCATGGTTTTGCGGCAGCTGCAGACGCCATAGAATACTTAAAACTGCACTTGTGATCGGCGGGGGACTTACCCCCGCAGTGATATTTTTCTTCGGTGAACGTATAATGAGCTACAACTCTACTCAAACGCAGTCTACTGCTCGATTACCAACACCGTCGACAAGGAATATGGTAAGTCATATATATATATATAAATGTTCCAGCGACATGCATTATTTGGGTTGGTGGCGAAAGCCGTGTTGCTTTTAAAGGAGCTAGAGCCGAGGATCTAGGACCTTTATGGCATTTTACATTTTCCTGAATTGTCTTAATAAACGGGATTTGAATCTTTTAAAATAGATTAATACCATGCACAATGCTCAATAACGCGCTGATTAAAGTCATGCATCCCAGAAATAACGTCTCTGTGAATGAATAAAACAGCCAAGGAATTTAATCTATCTTGCTTCGTTGTGTTTCTGAGATACGTTTTAATACGCTTCAGCGAGCTGAATGTTCGCTCTGCGTCGGCGGAAGAAATAGGCGTCGTCAAAATGATGTCCAGAAATTTTGCAGACGCCGCAAAGGTAGTTAGCAAAGGAGTGTTATCTATGAGGAACCCATAGAGCGCGCAAGTTGATGTGATGTTCAGAAAAGTTTGATTGGTGTATATACATCGCAATTCATTTTCCAATTTACCCACGTTTATCGTGGAGTAAAATTTGGAGACAGTAGCCAACAAATGGATGAGAAATTGACGTGCAAATTTTGAAAAAATTTTGGGGTTCATCAAAGAGAACGCGGCAAGGTGTTCAGTGCGCAGACGATCGCCTATTTGATTCACCAGAATGTCACAGCATTCCTTTGCAGACAAAATCAAACGCTGCGTTGTTTGCCCGCGGCGTAAAGAAGCACTCCATGTGTCGTCGTATTTTATTGTTTCCCGGATACGAGATACAGCATCGCAGAAGTCTGAAATACACGACTGCACAGACGCTCCATCCATTAGCCTTGACTGCAATGCGCCGTATAATACATCCACGTGATAGAATATTGTGGAGAAAAAAGCGAGAAAAAATGAAAACTCACCATCTTCTAGCAGACGCTTTAGACCTGCCGCCTCTCTCACAGAGCATTCGGCCCAAACCGGAGAGCTCTGAATGCCATTGAAACACTCAATGAGCTCAGACCTAATTTCGGACACGCCCTGCACCACGCGTGATTGGAAGTTCCAACGTGTTGGTGCACAAGCTGGGAGACGGCGGCTACATATCTGGCGAAGGAGGTCAGAGCGCTTCGGCGAAACGGAAAAAAATGAAGAAAACCCCGAAACATTTGCAAAAAATATACGGACGAGAGAGGTATCAAGACACATATTTTTAATAACGAGGTTAAATTGGTGTGCATAACAATGTAAAAAATGCGCATGAGGAAAATCTTCTTTTATATAAACTTGAACACCATGTTTCGACCCACTCATGACTGCCGCGCCGTCATAAGTTTGAGCTATCAATTTTGACTTCGCGTTGTAAGGCTGTAACACTATTTTCAGTAAAGCCGATATCCCGCAAGCCGTGCGATCAACGATTGGTACAAAGTTGTGAAATCTCTCGGTAGGTTTACCATCTTTCACAAACCGAAAAATCACAGCCAGTTGGGAAACGCACGTGATGTCAGTTGTCTCGTCAGACTGAATCGAAAGGAACTGGCAATTCTCAATTTCCAGAGCCAAATGTTGTAAATAAATTTTATACATTGAGTCGAGCAAATCATTTTGGATATCCTTAGATGTCCCTTTCGAAACAGTTGCGACATCAAGATGATCTCTCAATACTGTATCTAGGGATGCGGTATATTCCACCATATCCAAAAATACCCCTCTATTAGAAGAGCCAGCCCGTTCATCGTGCCCACGGAGGGACAGCTCGTGACAACCAATGAACTTCAAAACATCTATCAATCGACCGAGAACATGGCGGTTTTTCTCGACGTTTTGGTTGTGCCGACGAATAGAAACCGCGCGTCCTTCATCCAACTGTGCTGCAATATTAACATTTCCGAATGTTCGGTATTTTACTGCATTATCCAGATGCTCCATAAAAGATCGATGATCCCTGGCACGCTCGGAAAGATGTTTAAGATCTCTAAAACCAAATTTACACCAACGTGAGTCACGGGCGGTAGCAAAAAGTAGGCAATAAAAACAAAAAAGTGCATTTTTGTCCTCGCTGTAACACAACCATTCGTGTTTTTTATACCAAGTTTCTGCGCAGAATGTACGCCGACGCTTTCCTCCGTCATGGGATTGTTCCAGTGAACAATTTTTTGGTTGATAAGGCCCAAGACGTTGTACCTCTAATTTTTGTTCCAGCGGCAGCTGCGAAAACGGAGTGCGAAGTAGTGCATCAACCCTATTCATTATGAGGTCTAAGGCTAAGAAATGCGAAGCCAGAAAGAAGTGAGGAGCTCAAAAGGAATGTGGAAAATCGAAAGCAAATGGACTAAAGGTCTCTAACTGATTCAAATAGCGAAACAAGCGACAAAAACGAAGGCGAGGAAACTATCAACTTTTCAAGCAACCAACGAACGAGAAGGATTGCGTGAATATGTCAACACGTTGTTGTAAGAAACGTCGGCATTGTGTCGTCATAATTTCGGGGCTAGCCCCGATGATTTAGTAAAAGAAACAGAAAACAAACGAGACAAACGCGGCGAGTGGAAGATAAAAGAGGGAATACGATATACAATGAGCAACCGGGGCAAAATCGGCGTCGCCCCGTCGACGTTCGGCGAAGGCTTTGCGAGCGAAAAATGAACCATGTCGGGAGAATATGGCTAGTGTAGACAGTTTGTGCAACCGATATTGAGATATTTTTCGAATATTTTTTATTATATCGAAAAAACAACCGGGGCATTGCCCCGGTTGGCCCTATTGACGCGCCGCCACTGCTTTTTACTATATACCAAGCGTGGAGTATACAAGTTTTGATGCATAAATAACGTAAACCATGCTAAATCTATTTTACCTCTGCTCGTGATCACCTTACCTTTCATGTCATAGACAAATTATTATGACTACCCAAGTAAAAAAACCTGCAATTGCTTGGAGTTTTAAAAAAAGGATTTTCATCGGCCTTACATATCAAAACACTGTATATAGCAGTGGTTCTCAACCGGGGGCCGATGGCCCCCTAAGGGGGCCACAAAGCAGTTCAAGAGGGGCCACGACACAAGACCAATAATTGATCATAAAGCAACTTAGTTTGCATACTTTTATTTTAAAACAAAATCTCCCGTTCAGGCGTTCACCGCAGTTTCATTACATGAACAGGTTATTTGCGATTTCAGGGTGAATTCACTTTCCCATACGTGAATTGTTTCATCATATTGCCCACAATACGAAAATGGAACGACAGTCGCATTGGCGTTGGCTTCACTAAAGTAAATCTAGATGACAGAGTGAATGTAGCTATGAAGTGGCATTTCGTATTCTTAGCCACTACTTAGCATGAAAGCTGTATCAAAGCTGGCTGTATCAAAGACTGTGCTCCATATAAGAAACCTTGCAAGCCAGTCCCAAGTGCAAGATTCCCATTGATTGTATACTAAAAAGCTTGGACTTTTTTTTGTCTCTATATAGTTTGAGTTTTTTTGGATGGTGAACATGGGGGCCACGAGTGCAATAAGGCGCCAGAAGGAGACCACGAGCCATAAAAGATTGGGAACCACTGGTCTATAGGTTTGAGTTATAGAATGTAAAGCCATTTGGTTGCGAGGTCGAAACCATATAAAAAGGTAGAAACCGAGGATTAAAAAATTTTTGCGAGTCTTAAGTAAATATAAAATAAGCCGTGCCGGAATGTCAAAATGAAACGTTTGTTGTTGCGGAATTGAGGTTATCTTGAAAGAATATGATGAATAAACAAACAAACATATTGGTTTATAAATGATTTTAAGATAGAGATAGAAGGTACTGCTGCCAAATACACACCGTTCGAGAAAATTTGTTATTTCAGTTATTTCGTCCACCTTAATGCTTATTACGGATAGTTTTATTGTCCAATTCGGAATCGGAGTTTAATTTTTAGTTTCAAACCATTTTCAAGTTACCCGA